TTTTTATTATGGTGTTCTTTAGAGGTTGACATTGCCGCTAAATCTATACTAATATATAAAGCTGAAGAGTTTGTTTGTTTGCTTGAACGTGCTAGTCTCAGGAACTACTCGTTCCAGTTGAAAAATCTTTTTGTGTTGAGCAATATGGGCATCAAAATAACTAGTCTACATAGATATATATCATAAATATGAAAAAAAAAACTTCGTAATATTAAAACAACTTAAATATAGAGTCATTAAAACATACAGCCAATTTACTTTTTCCCTCTATTTTACGTTTCCAAATTGACATCTTGCTAGATACTTACGTATTGACACTGATCGGATCAGTGATCCAAACTCTGACTTTTACCGGGAAATTTAAGGATAAATAACGATAAAATGTATTCAATATTTGATTTACTAAAGTTTCATTGCATTTAATCCTGTGAAATCTAGTTTTTAATAAATACAGTTTTATTAAAATATAATAAACATCTTCTCAAACATTTAGCATTATTTAGAGAAATTAGACTCTTTTAAGCAGATGTGGTCATGGGGAGACTAAAGACGGCAGCAGTATCTCTGAAGTAAAGTAAATTCAACTACGCTAGCGCCATCTGTTCCGTCAATGATGGCATTTGGCGAAACTGGCCGAGTTAAAATGTGATCACGATTGCTGCAAAGCATCCGAAACATCGAACTCGTAGTTAAAATATTTTCAAATAAATTTAATTAATATATATCGCGTTTAAAACCGTTAAAGTATTTTATTTAAATAGATCGAACTTGCTGTACTATACGTAGACCAGTATCTGTTATGTTTAGCGCCCAAATACATTACGATGTAAAATCTTATTTGTGATGTAACTTAAAAATGGAACGGTCTTTTCCGCAAGAAGGCGACCAAAGAGTTAACTTATCATTTCGAACTTGCTGGCTGCATAGAAAGCTCTTAAGTGAAAAAAATACTTTGGCGCGTACTAAAAACCTATTGTTATTTATTTGGCATTGTACGGCTTAGTTTTATTTTCCACTGCAGTAATGTATTTTTAAGCAATACAAAGAACAAAAATCTGGTAAATTGAATTCTGTATGTCTTGTATTTTTCTTTCACTTCACCTGTATTGGCAAGTGTTCAAATTGATCTCTTTGCGGCCTTCTGAAGATGTCGAGTAAAACTTTTCAAAAGTCTATTGTGCTCCGGAAAATTCGTGAACAAAAGTTTTAAATTACTTTCTCTAAGCGCCAAGTCTCGCACAACAACACACTAAAAATGTAAATTACTTTGAATTCGTTACGGTTTTAATTAAAGATGTTGCAGTCATTGATCTAAGTTATTCTGATACTTTTCTAAAACAAAAACAAAATGTTATTATCCGTTTTTTTATTTTATGAAATAAAACTGTCATTTTAAGTAATAAATGTCAAAACACTTTTTACTTTGATTGTGGTCATGGTGGGACTGCGCCAAAGCATTCAAAACTTTAGGACGTAGTTAAAAATAAGTTTAATATGTCGCGTTATAAACTGTTAAAAGTAGTTATTGTTCATATGAATAAGAACGTCTCTTGAGACCGTTTACACCATAGTTTTTGGTAATCATAATGACATGTGACAAAAAAAGTATTATTACTGACTTTTATTTAAAACAAACACAGTATAAATTCTCTTAAAAATAGGAAAAATACTGTTTTACAAACTTTTTCAATCTCAAAAGACAAATAAGTAACTAATGTTTGGCTTAGGATTTCTCTCTAGTAATAAAACGAGTTACAGATTACGTTAGTAGGCATGTACGTGGGAACATACTTGTTCTCTTAAATAAAACACTTTTAACAGATACTGTCTATAGTGTACGCGAGTAGTACACATTTAAATAAAACACTTTAACGGTTTAAACCACGGCTGCTGCAAAGCATCTGAAACGTCGGTCCGAAGTAAAAAATCATTTTCAAATAAGTTTAACTAATATATCGCGTTTTAAACCGTTAAAGTGTTTTATTTAAACTTTTAACAGATTACAACGCAAACTATCTAAAAAAATATATTGTTAAAAGTGTACTGGCATAAACTACAGATAATACATTCTCGTTCAATTATATAATTATAACTTGGAAATTTCTATTAAGAACAGGTGTAGAGTGTTGCTATCTCATAGCATGAGATCAAAAATATTTAACATACGTTTCGGCTTTTCTTAAATATTCGTAAATATACAATATTAACGATGAAATATCAAATAGTTTTTAATAACGTGCCGATTTTAAATAAACAAAATAATGTTGGTTTATTTATTCTTACATTTATATTAAACTAGCTGAGCCATTTTTGTTTTTACAAACCTCCTGTTCAACTCTATCACTCTTATTAAAAAACAAGAACTAACTCTGAAACCTGGTTTAGACCCTGGTTTATTTGAAATCCTTATTACAAAACCAAGTTCAACGTTTGTACTGGATTAACTATGGTATTAACTTAGATTCGTTTAGACCATGGTTTAAAAGTTAAACCAAGACTCCGCAGTTCTAGTTTAAATCTGGTTTAAGTATTTTTTTTGGAATAAGGCCGTATATGTTTAAGCTGTTACTCACGATGTCGTCCGCGTCCCGTAGTTTTTAGAAGTTAATCTTAAAGATAGAAATATACCGTCGCGGACTTTTTTTAGATCATTTAAGGAGAAATCATTCTTTTATACATATTTTTTGGGTATTTTGAACCGTTTTCGCAGCGTGGAAACCCACAAGAATGAATAATTTTCTCCGTGTCTCCGACGTTTCTTCGTTCCTATTAGTCACAGCGCTATGTTTTATAATTCATAGCTTTCCTGAATAAATGTTCTAACCAACACAAAAAAAAAGAAATTCAATTCGAACTCAAAATCTTAAACCTAAAATCTTAAAATTAGTGCATTCAAACAAACAAACTCTTCAGCTTCATATAGCAGTATAGATAATAATTTCGTATGACAGACATCGTATAATATATTCTTTATCTTTAAATCTTTCTATAATCTATGAAACTTTTTGGCGGGAATTTGTTATCTGTACTAATACGAACACCAAGATTTTAACGCACCAATTTATTGCAATATTTATGGATAAATGCACTCTACTTTAACGTAATCATAAGAAAACATGTATTATGTTCAATTTAGTAGAATTAAAGCAGATATGTACGTTAGCAGAAGCATTCGGAACACGATTTAAGAGACGGCCCTTTCGCTTATTAGCCATGACACCAGTTTGACACTCAAAATCAGATTTCAGCAGTACCTCTGAATTTCTCTCGGTATTCGTAAATTTTCAAAATTCTAGCTTTATGTTTTACTTTTCAGAGCACTTTGTTAGTCTAGATCCATGATACACACTGACATACATTTCTAGAGTGGTAGTAGAGTCGCATAACCGAACTTTCTCATCTAACTAGCATCATTAACAATTATGAATCTTATTTAATTAAACGCTTATAACGTAATTTGTAAAATATAAAAAAACAACATCTTCGATACGATTCCGACTAGTAACAAACTTTTTTAAACAATGGAACATTTCCTTCATTGACTTACGTATACTAATATATAAAGCCGAAGAGTTTGTTTGTTTGAACGCGCTAATCTCAGGGAGCTATCGGTTTAGATTAAAAATATTGTTGTGTTAATTAGAACATTTATCGAGTTACGCTATAGGCTGTAAAACATCGTCTTGTGACTAATAGCAGTGAAGATACAACGAGAAATCTGACAAAAATTGAGAAAATTATTTATAATTATGGGTTTCCGAGGCGTATGCAGAAACGGTTCAAGACACCAAAAGAAAGTATGAATGAATGATTCCTCTTTAAATGATTAAAAAAAAGTCCGCGACTTTATACGTCTATCTTTTAAGATTAACTTTCAAGAACGACGGGAAGATACGCGACAGACGTCGTGGGTTACAGCTTAAGCTTATAAAGATGAAGCCAAACGAATTTGGATGCCCAAAGTAACGATACTCGCGGACGAAATCGCTGACACAGCTAGTCCCATATAACGGAGACCTACTTTATGTAAGTAATCATATATCTATCTAGTTTTAACGCCTCAATGGTACCCACATGGTATACTATTACACAATGCATTGTTTATACATTGTATACTGTCTATAGTTTACGCGATTAGCACACATTTCAATAAAACACTCCAACAAAAAAAGTAAAAAAATTAAAAAGTTTAAAATAAGTTTAACTAATATATCGCGTTTTAAACCGTAGAAGTGTTTTATTTAAATGTGTACTACTCGCGTAAACTATAGACAGTGTGTACAATGCATATAACCTTAAAAAGAACGGTTGGTTGATGTTTTTACCAGTAAAGTTGTTCAGTCAACTTTATTAGTAACTAATGTATTATACAAAGCTCATTGAATAGCACATTAAATACGTTAAAATCGTAATGTGTTTTAATTATTCATGACTTTTCATTGCGTCGAGGTCTTGTACATTGGTTTTTTAAATTGGTTAGCACTTCCAATATTAATTAAGACGTACTGAAATAAAATTTGATCGCCTTAGGACGATTCTTTCATTGTTTTTTAATTTTTGTTTTTATAAATCCTTACTAAGTAGAGAATTTAATGTCAACAATGTTTATTTTATATTTAAATAATATTATTTTAAGATATTATACCTTAATAATTGGTATTATAACCCACAACTACAGTAGTGGGGTTAGTAATACCGCTTATATAGTTGTTTCAATATGTATCAAATTTACACACGAGATAAGACAAAGTAATACATGTTTTTTTATTATTAAAATAGGGTTGTTTGGAAGTAATATGAAAAAATAAAACTATATCTTCAATTCAAAGTTTACTTCCTAATTTAGGACTGTATCGTTACGAAGCGTTATTATAAAAGTAAGAAGAATCTGCAATACATCGTGATTATTAAATACGTCCTTAACAATTTATCAATTACTGTTCTTTGTGCTTATACGTAATAATATAAAGGTTAAATTACCGACTTTTCTATTGTTTTAGTACGACTACCTCAGGTCAAGACGACGACGCAGACTGGGCCCGAAATTCTACTATTGAAGAACTATACTTAGGCCATAATTCGACACATGAAGTTTTTGGTATGACCTTTGAATTATACATTTATTACATATATAGTAAATAATATATATTAATAATAGACAAGCATTTAAAATAATTAGAAGTGATTACAATGAAAATTATCCAGATAAGGGTACGGGACCTTTTACGCAAAAGCACGACACGCACTTGACTAGATAACTTTTTTTTAATAACAGGAGGCTAGACAGGGCCTGGGGTTCACTTAATGATATATCCCAGTATGTAGCATCTAAACAAGATTTCGCGCTCGACATTTGTTGGCTTTGGATATTCTGAAATCCATAGACTCAAACCGAAACGCGATTAACCTTCAAGGCTTTTTCATCTGTAGACGGTGGTTCGGGACCCGGACGAAATTTCTATATTCCTACCATCCACTTAATATCCAGATTTCCAGACGAAGTTCAGCGTGTTTCAGAAATATTAGAAACATGTTTGACCTGATGGGGATCGAATCCACGACCCGTTGATTGCTACCATTAGACCTACGAGCTGTATGTGGGTAACGAAGCAGTTAAAAGCCTGTTTAGCAAAATAATAATTATTTGAAACACCGCTTAAGAAATTCTGTTACTTATGTCTAATGGAATTATGTTTACTAAATTATCAACGATTCAAATAGTATAATTGGAAATTTAATTTAGCTCGGGCGCAAAATTCAGGAATTATTCCTTATAATGAGTTCTCGAGGACTATTCCCCTGTTGTAATTGGAGATCTTAAGAACAAAGCCGAGTTGTTTACAAAATACGGACGGTCCTAACAAGAAAATCAATATACTTATTCCATTAAACAATTGTTGACTTATTTCGTTTTAGTAAATCGCAGTTCTTTTAAGGAATACGTAATTAGATGAAAAAATATTTAAAATGAGACCTTATCTGGTTAGGTAGACCTTACATCCGTTCTATTTTTAAATAATTATGTGTCACTATTTATACAGCCTTTTAAGAAATATACTTAAAATTGTTATAGTCAATCTCTGACTTCGCCTATCATCTGTGTCAGTAGTGTCTTTCGATTCGTTACATAAGTATCTGTACACTAGTATAGTGGTAGTGTATAGCACAATATTGTACTAAATATGGTAAGCATTTTGAATATACATATATATTAGGTAAAGCCAGAATTAAACAGTGTGTTTTTCTCTCAACTTTAATTGTAAGACATGTTTTTCATTAACATATTGAAATTCGGGGGCTATAAGGGCAGACACAAAACTATGTCTGTTTAACTGATTGCCCGACTAGTATTAGACTATAGTTCTGTGCCCTGATCGACTGAAACAATAGTTTTCGTTCCATGAGAAACCGAATCCAGGGCCACGCAGACCCTTATACTGATTTTATACCATAGTTTCTCTAATATTTTCAATTTTGTTTCAGACACATTATACGACGTACCCACGGGTATGATAGTCTTATTGTCATTCCTCTACGGCTCCATATCGGTGCTGGCTGTGATAGGAAACTTTTTGGTTATGTGGGTAGTTGCCACATCTCGCCGCATGCAAAGCGTCACTAATTGTTATATAGCTAATTTGGCTCTAGCCGACATCGTTATAGGATTATTCGCAATACCATTCCAAGTAAGTAATCATATTCGTTTATATTACAAACGATTTGAAGGATGCTAGCGTGAGAAAGCGAATCAAATTATATGATAATTAATGTGAATAGTATTATAAACAGGACAGAGTGAATTAAAATCGTATTAGGTAAGGAGTTGAAATCTTCTTCAGCCCTCTCAGTCTCAACATAATATACTAATAAAACTACATTACTGAAGTCAAATAATGTAACAAAAATAATATCTAGTAATTGCAAAGGATATATAATTATAACAAGCCGTAATAGAGAAGTTTTATATTTTTGAGATTGTTTTTGGTAATATTAAAATATATAATACGTTTTAAACATTATGCGCAATGTAGGTTTGCGTCGCAAAAGGCATTATTTTCCTAACAAGGGTTGCCTGAAAGAGATATCTTATAATATAATTATAAAAATAAATAAACTTCTTTGCCTTCTTTGTTACAAATTCCTTTGATCAGGCAGATTGTTTATAGTCAAGAGTTATTCAATCTAAAAAAAAATATGAAAGTTTTCAAAACTAAACCTCTTTAGTTAATGCATTTGAATTTCGAACCGGGGTCTTTTTAGACAACCGGATCGTTTCGAATAACTCTTTAACGGCTTAAAACGCAAAACTGCAAACATCCGAAACGTCGGGCCGAGGTAAAAAATGTTTTTCATGTAAGTTTAACTAATCGCGGTTTAAACCGTTAAAGTGTTTTATTTAAACTCTTTCTATATAAGTTACAGACATTCCTCACTATTCTGTATATAGTAGTCACCTTTGAAGTTTGATCATCAAACTGCATCCTACCAAATCAAAGCTTTATTTATGAGCAGAGTTATAAATGAGAAAACAACAGGAGCGTAAATCGCAATTACAGCGACTTTTTTATTAATTCGGTATCCCTTTGTACTCCTGATATTCCGGGCCATTCCCTTTGAACATGTGTGGAGTTCCTATTGCGGGCAAAAAGTTTTGTGGACTCGTTTAATCAATTAATTAGGAGAAAAGTTTTCGCGTCCCTCGGGGTTACAATTATTCCTGGATAGATTACGAGTTAAATAAACTACTGTATAGCATAATTTTATTGCAATCAGTAAAATCCTACTTGAAGTATACTGGTATTGATTGACTGGAATACTTTGAAATCGTTTTTATTTGTACGTTATGAAAGGAAGTGCTCGTCAGTCAAATTGATTGACGAGTATTTCCTTTTAAAGATCATTCGAAAGTTCACAAATAAGTGCTTGAATGATAGTGATTTGATTTTTATTTTAAAAACTTACTCGAAAGTTGTTTGCAAAAAATGTTTTTTTAAATTTATTGAACAATTACGTAACGACATTATGGTTTCATGTTTAGCTATAGAAATAACTTGAGACCATGGCTGCTTCAAAGCATCCGAAAATAAAATAAGTTTCACTAATAAATATCGCGTTTTAAACCGTTAAAGTGTTTCATTTAAATGTGTAATAATTGCGTAAACTACATACAGTATTTGTTTAGATAGTTATTTTAGTGTATATGTTTAATGGTTCGTTTATTTTCAGTTCCAAGCAGCGCTACTGCAACGATGGTTACTCCCACACTTTATGTGTGCCTTCTGTCCGTTTGTGCAAGCTCTTAGTGTAAACGTGAGCGTTTTCACTTTGACCGCGATTGCTGTTGACAGACACCGAGCGATTATAACCCCTCTCAGGTAACTTGCCACTAACCGAATTCTTCTTCTTCTTAGTTTGGATGGCTCCCTCATTCTAAATAGATGCTGCCAATGTGATGTGGGAAGAAGATTATCGTGTAAACTTTAATTATTCTTACAAAGACTAAAAATAATATTGTCTTAGTGCGAGTATGCAGTTATAGAAGTTAATAAAACAAAGTAAATATTTACTTAAAATCACCCCAAGTCCCTTGGATTTTAAACAACGAGAAAACATTTTTCTTGTGGCTAGATATTTGTCAAATAGACAGAATTATGTATGCCCCAGTTCTAGGGTAAGTAAAACTAGACTAGACATAGTTTCGCTAGATATTTACTTTAATAGAAATTCTACTACAATAGTCAAAAACCCTCACAGGGGTCTAATCAGGATTCCTCAAACAAACATTGTAAACGATTAAATAAAAGAAGATTACCGTTTTTCTCTTAATATTTTTACGTAAAAACGTCACAGGGTGGGTTCAAATGCATTTGTGAGATGTTGCGTTTTTCCTACGCGTATAGCAAGTTAATTTAGTATATTAGTAATTAGTTAATATAGGTTTTAGTTATATATTAGCATTTATTTTAAATATTAAATTATTTGCTAACGAGTGATCCCTGGCATAAATAAACCTTCCGGTTTTCATGCCGCGAATGTATACTAATATATAAAGCTAAGGTTTGTTTGTTTGAACGCGCTTATCTCAGGAACTACGGTCCGACTTGAAAAATTCTTATTTTGTGTTGGTTAGACCATTATTGAGGGGACGGCTAAAGGCTATAAAACATCGCCCTCCGATTAATACAAGCAAGAGAAGGGGAAAAGATACAGCGGGAAATTGGAAAAAAAGAGATAATTATTCATAATTATGGGTTACCGAGGCGTATGCTACAAAAACGGTTCAAGATATCCAAAAAAATATGCATGAAAGAATGATTCCCTTTAAATGACAAAAAAAGGCTGCGACTCTATAATCTGTTATAGTAGCGAGCGCAGTCTGAAACAGCTTAAGTTTATAAAGATTGCAGAAACAATTTGGATCCCAAAATAAATATACTTAGCGACGAAGTCGCTGGCACAGCTATTACTTGTATAAAATAGCAAATATAAATGAATAAAGAACCATTATTTTTAAATTAAAAAATGTAATGTAAAAACAGTCTAATGCGCACACATAGTTTTCCAATTTAAAAATTTCTTTAATATTGTAAAGTTGTATTTCGCATTTCTCAGCGGGCTACGAGTATATTAGACTATTTATCATTCTAACTGTCAAATATACTAGAGAGACGAAGAATTTTTAACATATTTCACTAAGTAGCAAAAATGTTTGAGAACAGTAGTACTCTTAAATGTGGAAAAAGCATTTTTTAAATTATACCATAATAAAGAAAAATAATTTAGTTAATAACATCTTTCTTACATAATGTTATACACCTAACGTTATTCATGAGAAAGTTACTTAGATCTATGTAGCTCTCTCATGCAAATCTACCTATTAACGCAACATAATAAAACTTTGCATAGTTATTATAGCTTATACAAGAATAGCATCAAGTAATATTATCAAAACAGATTTGCTGATCCCAATTAGTTTTTTGGTACGCGTTCAGTGAATGCATTTCATAGACTACAATTCATTTTTATCAAAATATGTTTCTAAGCTAAAATCAATAAAAAGTTTACATACAATATACATGCCAGCTCGTAAAATTAAATATAAGGGATGTCCCCAGAATTATCACATTAAATTACCTATGTGTTTACGTGTTTGTGAGTTGTGAGTGTGTGAACCTTTTAAGCCATGTCATTTTAAAACATGTGATAAATCACGTGGCACCCTGTATAAGCCATTTGAATAACGACATTATACGCTGCCAATCGTCGAATTGAGACCCTTTGTTATAACCTACCCTCACCCCCCCACTCACATGAGAACTTACCAAAATTAAAGAAAGATTACACCGTATTTAACCTTAATACCTTAGCGCTATTTTCAGGAACATAGAAATGAAATCAACACTTTACATCGCGAACTATAACAGTCAATAACCTATATTAACGTCAATTCGCAGCCAAACGAGTAAGACGAAGTAGAAAATAGGTATTTATAGCGATATATCACGAAAGACCTCGTAAATACGGAGGCCATAAATTAAAAAGTGAGGAAAACGAGCAACGAAGCCATTACGTTGAAAGCATAAACCGCCTCGCGGCTCACCCATCGTTTTATATTCAATGCTAAAAAATGGGAATAAAACAAATTTGAGCGAATTAAACTTCTTATTATACATTTAATACCATAGCGTGAGTGTCGTTGGTGAAAACTGTTTCAATGCTTCGCGACAAAAAGAAACCAAGTTAATTTGGGACAAAAACTGTCTGTTGGTATAAGCTTAAGCTAATGACCGTTTGCTTTAGTAATTCATTTGCATTTTTGCCATAATAAAGTAAAGAAAAAAGTCTGTAAACACGAACTGTCTCATTAGCTGTGTACTAATTACTTCTTATTTTTCTTAAGCAACTAAGCTCATACTTGGCTATGAACATCTAAAACGCCGGGTCGTAGTTAAAATGAGTTTAGTAATAAATAAGGCGATTTGAATGTTTTATTAATAAAAATTGTAATTACAAAGCAAGTATATTGTTGACAGGTATAAGAGATTTTCTATGATTTACATGTCGTTTTCAATATTTATATTATAGTGTTAAACACTGTCTGTAGTCTACGCGAGTAGTAAACATTTAAATAAAACACTTTAACGGTTTAAAACGCGATATTTTTTTTAAACTAATATATATCGCGTTTTAAACCGTTAAGGTGTTTTATTTAAATATGATAATGTTTGAAAAGTTTATTATTTTTTTACATGTTATTGCACATGAAGGCGCTATATAATTTAAAAGTCGTAAATAAATTGAAAAAAATTTCTTACCGTGTTGTTGCTCTACCAATTGAGCTACCGAGCTACGGAAAGCTGATCATGCCGGTTCAAGTCCTGCCCGAGTCGAATTTTTTTCTCAATTTATTTGTGATAATGGTGTTTAAAATATTAACATTAAAACCTTTAGACGTTAAAAGGGCATAAGAAAGTAAATTCCATTGTCAGGTTTATCCACCTTTTCAAAGCAATAAATCTATCCTCGAGAATTTTACGATAAAACCTACTCCAGCCGACAGCTACGAAAAAATATTTCCCTTCTGCAAATAGGTAAAACCGGTAACTCATGTTTCTTAGACCTAATATAAATCCCTCTAAGAAGCAATATAGCGAGTGACATAATATCCAGCGCCGGAAAATTTATGATTTTCCTTTTCCTTCCAACGTTTCCTGTTAGATTCAATACCCGTTACTAAAAATCATATTAAACTTGATTTATTCCATTTGTAAATATTGATTTGTTAGTAAATCTCAACTCATATAGCCGAATATTAAATAATAATACTGCGTGAATGTTTTACGAACATATACTATTTTTTTCTATGATGTAAAAAAGATGGAAAATATATCTTGTAAATATATAAATGTGTTTGTATATTTTTATTGTAGTTTATGTGTGAAAAATAATGTTTCCGTTGTTAAGCCTCATAATAATTGTCTTTTTAAATTCTTTACAATGGTAAGTAGGAAAATAATGAAGTTCTTAATTATCTACATCTAAGAAGCTCATTAGCTTTATTATTTTTTCTACTTACATATGAACAAGACGTTTATTTTGCATTTAATATTAATCAAAGAGAACGCACTACAAAATTACCTCTTAATAAAACATTTGCTTACGTTTTTCTTGGGTTTTCAACATTCATTTACATTTAAAAAAATCGTATAGTTAAATAATGTAATGCAGATAACAAATCAAAACAATAGATTCTACAGAGGTAAAAATTATTTATTAATTCCTTCCCCTTTTCAAGAACTTGTATTAAAAGTCATCATCAAGAATATTTTTATAATCTGTGTAATATGTTATTAATAAATAACCATCGGGTTTAAAGCCCCTTAATTATAAGATCTTCAGAGGTTCTGCGTTCGAATCTTGAGGAAATTTGTTTCTGGTCGAGCAGGGCCCAGAATAAATTGAATGGTTGCAAAGCTCAATCTGATATCGAAACTGAAGTGGACTTTATTTTTCTTTTGGTAGTGCTCATACGTCAAAGCGCGTGGCCAAAGTAATTATAGTCTTTATATGGATACTGGCGTTATCTCTGGCAGCTCCAATGGCGATGTCTTGGGAAGTTGTCATGGAGGAAGAAAGGGATCCAGGTACCGAGAAATTGCCACTATTTTAAACCAAAATTCACTTGATGGTAGATGAAATATGACATCTAATGTCGCTAATAAATTTATATGCATAATGCCAATATATTGAAAAACTTTTGTATGATATTTTTACCTGTTAGATATAAATGTTGAAAAAGCATTACGTTGTGTTTCGCGTAATTAAATCATTTTGTAGTTAAATAGATAAACATGTCGTATGCTGGTGTTAATCACAAATATTTTCATTTTAATCTATATATAATATAATGGATACAATGTATCAATTACGAAAGGTAACAAAAAATATTTCTTTACAGTGTCAAAAGTATCCTACGAAAAACCCTTTTGTACAGCAAGTGATTTTGGAGCGCATTCATTAGCAATTTATCGCCTTATGCTATATATATTCCAAGTAAGTATTTTGATATTGGTAAATCGAAAATGAATTTCGTTCCGTTTCGTCTCTTTGAACATTGACTGACGACGCCGGTTCAAGTCCTGCCCGAGTCGAACATTTTTTAAATTTATTTTCGATTTTTAAATTATATTGTGCCTTCATGTGCAATAACATTTTCTTTTATATAAAATATATTATTCACTTGTGATCGAGAACTAACCACTCTAGGTGATGTGAAGCGATAATTATTTCAGGTCAAGTCGAAAACACTTCATTTTTAAAGTCTAGCTAACCTAAAATGAATTTTTCTTTGAAACTGATTGGATTGACTGGAGAATGACATTTTATATGCAATAAGTATTGCGTTCCGCATTGTCTATATGTTAACGGCAGGGCCTTGAATCTGAATTCGCGATCAAAGTATTTTTATTGAATGCAACAAACTACCTTTGTAGACAAATGGTTCATTGCATATTATAACGTTAAGCACGAGAGAATCTAGGTTCAAATCCCAGATATACAATGTATTGTTTCGATCAGGCAGCGCACTGATCACTGACTGATCAACTCATGCCCCACCAGGGGAAACAGGATTTTATTATATAACAAAATAAAAAGTTACATAAGTTCTAATATTTACTATGAATGTTGACACAACTAGCGTGCATACTAAAATAAATTCCCTTGTTCGCAGTATGTTATCCCACTATGCGTGATTACATTTGCATATGCACACATGGCCATGAAGCTGTGGGGAGCACGAGCCCCAGGTAACGCCCAAGAGACGAGGGATGCCAATCATATGAAGAATAAGAAAAGGGTAAATACGTATTTATTTTATACATCGACAGATCAGAACACACATCAGTTACCAGCTGAGTCAGCGACGTCGTCCGCGTAGCTGTTATGGGTATCCAAATTTGTTTTTTCAGACCTCTTAATCATTATGAATTTACGTTATTATCTATAACGTCGGTCGAGCCCTGTTGTACTTGAAAGTTAATCTTAAAAGGCCTTATTACAAAGAAAACACTTAAACCAGGTTTAAACCAGAACTGCGGAGTCTTGGTTTAACTCTTAAACCATCGTCTAAATGAATCTAAATTAGTACAATACTTAGTCCAGTACAAACGTTAAACTTGGTTTTGTATAAAGAATTTCAAATAAACCAGGGTTTAAACCAGATTTCAGAGTTAGTTCTTGTGTAATAAGTATAAGAGTGATAGTGTCGGGGACATTTTTTTAGATCATTTTAAGAGGAATAATTCTTTTATTCCTCTAAAAATGATCGAAAACCTGGACGACCTCCTACCAGGTGGACCGACGACCTGGTCAAGGTAGCGGGGAAACGCTGGATTCAACTAGCGAACGACCGGTCGTACTGGAAGTCTATTAGAGAGGCCTATGTCCAGCAGTGGACACTGAACGGCTGAATCGAATTCTTTTATACATATTGGGTATATTGGATACCCGGTAAAAAGATGAAATATTTTCCCCGTTTCTCCCCACAATTCCAGCTGTTTCTTCTCATCTATTAGTCACAGCGCAATATTTTATAGCCTTCCTCGATAAATGTTGTAAACACAAAAATAATTTTTCAATTCGATCCAGATTGTCGCGTACAAACAAACTCTTCAGCAGTATATATTAGTATAGCTTATATATATTATTGGTACATGTATTTTTATGTCAGATCCATGATAAATGTAACTATTTTTATACAATATTTTTGCTTTGTTCAAGTTGGTCTCTGAGGATTTCGCTATAGAATTTTCAGTTGCATAGTAGTTTTATCTGTTGGTCCCGCGAGGTGTTTGATATTAAAGACGTGTTGACGGTTTAATACGCGGTATTAACTTAAACAGTTTGAGCTAAACCGTTAAATCACTGTGTAGACGGACATGGTGGGTCTAGAAGCTCCTTAAACGTTTACAAACATTGGGCACATCTACTTTGATTACATGCAATTGGCTTTGAAACTTACATCGGATCGTAGCCTCAAGTGTATAACATAAATTGCTAAGTTACAACTTGTAAACACCTAATAATCTCCCGAGTCCGTTTCACAAGAAATTATGGATTAGTTTTAGCTTATTTGGGTAAAATAATACTGGTTGTAGAAGGAGAATCTGACGAGCTCGTATGGCCAATGATCAATAGGTCATGGATTCGATCCTCACCGGGTCCAACATTTTTCTAATCAATTTATAATTTTTATAAAACATGTTAAACGTCGTCTGCATATTAAATGGGTGGTCACCGACCACAGATGAAAAATCCGTAATGTTTAATCATGTTTTGATTACAGTCTGTGGATTTCCGAATATCCAAAATCAAAGTAGGTAGACAGCGCATTTATTGTAGATGTTATATGTCTGGGTATTTAACTTACCATCTACAAAAGCGATAAAATTTGACAACTATATGTTACCCGGACGAAATTTCGGTATTTCTCCAACGCATCAAACCCAGGACTTGTCGATTGCTACCTTTAACCAACGAGCCTATCAAATGTGAACTAATTCCCTGTACTAATTATCATCAACTATTACCTAACTCAATACGAAAACATTTATAAAGTGTTTCTCATCCTAGACTCTCGAGAGTATTCAAATGAAATGGGGCTTCGCATCACTACTATATGGTTCGGTACGGATATTTAATGAGCCGTAAAAAGCCACTCCGCGAAACAATGGCCTACCTTTTCTCGTTTCATAGCTGCACTATGCGATATGAAACAAAATTTATTGAACCAATATGGTAATTATAAAAAACTATCTCGTTCCGTATGTGGGGCACTGTGCATTATAGACAGTATAGTATAATGATAGACAGACCCATTTCAAATTCAAAATGTCTTCGTCCGCGTAGAAAAGTTATTTTGGACAACAAAGTTTGTTTTTACAAACATAACTGTTACCCACGACGTCGCGCCGGTCGCGCCCCGTCGTTGTTACAAATTATTCTTAAAGCTAAACGTACGAGTATACTGTCGTAAACATTTCTTTTGAATATTTAAAGAGGGATCATTCTTTGATTTTGCGTATTCGCAGCGAACGCAACGGAAACCCTCAAAAATGAATAATTTTCCCCGTTTATTTACCACATTTCTCACTGTTACTTCGCTCCTGTAGGACACAGCGTGATGTTTTATAAAATTTTTCAATTCGAATCAGATCCTTCTGAGTTTGAAGGTTTTTTTTTTGCTATAGCATATTTTAAGTGTTTTATTAAATACTGTCTATAGTTTACGCGAGTAGTACACATTTAAATAAAACACTTTAACGGTTTAAAACGCGATATATTAGTTAAACTTATTTGCAAATTATTTTTAACTTCGGCCCGACGTTTCGGATGCTTTGCAGCAGCCGTGGTCACGGGGAGACAATTTTCAAATAAGTTTAACTAATATATCGCGTTTTAAACCGTTAAAGTGTTTTATTTAAATGTTTATTTTTATCTTTTGAATGAATGTAAATTTCAATCTGTCGTACTAATAAAAATAGCGAATGTAAAAAGTTTTCTAAGGTCTCTAACAAAAAAATATCTACTTAGTATCACTTAGCAATATTATTTTATCATTATTCGTAACATACCTGTGTAATGTTATCGGCTACTAATTAATTGCTTTGTTCCAGGTAATAAAGATGTTGGTCCTCGTAGTAGCATTGTTTGCGATATGCTGGCTTCCTTTACAAAGCTACTTTTTGCTGCAAACATTGTTCCCTTCGATAAACGAGTAAGTTTTGGTAGCTATTAAATTATCAAAGTATTAGCTCTAGAAGTTCTAGCAACTCTTAAGTTATTTTCTCTTCCACTTGCTATGCCTTTTACGATGTACCTTATCTTTTGTTTGTTATTCCTTACCTTACACCCTTAATAAATCTTCTTCTATTTCTTTTGTCCTGGTTGCCTGGAAGAGATCGCTGCTTAGCGATAAGGGCTTAATTTATTTATAAGCTAGTATGATAGATTTTTATTGTATTTTTTCTGTAGTCTAAATATTCTTCAATATAAATTTTCCTAGGCGATCAATTATATGGTTTCCGTGTCAATTAAAATTCCAACTATATTAGCTTTCAATTTCTTGAATTATGGTCCTATGAATTATTTTACTCGTAAATTTATCTTAGCACACTAAGCCCATTTCATCTGCAAAAACCGCTGACCGCGTGAAAAAGCGTTTTCAACGAAAAGTTGTGAAAAACTTTCTGCTCCATAATTTTGTAATATCAACATTAACGTGGCCAAAGCAGCCAGATGAATACTAGGTGTGTACACATTTAAATAAAATACTTTAAACTGTTTAAAAAGCGAAATGTATGTATTAGTCAAAGGTATTTAGAAATTATTTTAACTACGGCCCGACATTTCGGATGCAGCCGTGGTCATGCGGATACTGGGGGGGGGGGGGTGAAATGAAATAAGTTTAATTAATACATACGCTTTTGTAACCACTTAGTGTTTTAGTGTTTTATTTAAAAGATAATTTCGACATATGGCAATTGCGATATTATACCTGACATCGAAATTACATGCTGGTAATTGTTTAATTGCTTTATTATACAATAATATCTGTTAAAAAAAAATTAGAACTGTGTCGTTCTAAAATGTATCCAGTCTGCAACGCAATTAAATTTCATACCTTTTTCATCTGTGGATGGTGGTTTGTGACTGAGACGAAATTTCGACACTCCCACCACCTTATGTTTTTCTAAATAAATTTTACGTTATATTAAAAATCTGGTGGGAATCGAATTTCAGTATATCCAAAGCCCAAAATGGTCTTGTTTATAAGTTATGTGGTCAAGCTCTTTTACCTACCATCAAGTAAACATCGAGTTCATTTAAAGGTTGTATTTCCTCCTCTGTCATGAAAAAAAAATCCGACATGAATTACCTAGTTTTCTCGTACTAAGTTTATCCTATATAAAAAAGAAACTGGTGTGAATCGAATTGTTGATTATAAGTAACTTGCTACCAGCAGAGCTACGAGATCGTCTCTTTTAGTCTTATTCTAACTAGCTCCCAACTACGAACTGTACTGTGATGTAATTTATGTCCATCTGACAACATGCAACTTGTACAGAGAGCACTAATTTCGCTTCCAGCTACGTGAGTAGACAGAACTCATTTGGACTGCTGCATACTTCATTCTTGTCCTAAACCTGTTTCTTTTCAGGTACAGATACATAAACATTATCTTCTTCTGCTTCGATTGGTTGGCGATGAGTAATTCTTGCTACAATCCGTTTATATACGCTATTTATAATGTGAGTATGTCTTCGTATCAAAGTTATTTTGCTATATTTTAATAAAATACTGTCCTATAGTTTACGCTAGTAGTACACAATTTAAAACAGCACTTTAACGATTTAAAACGCGATATGTATTAGTTAAACTTATTCGAAAATTACTTTAACGGTCGTCACGGGGAGACACCACGGCTGCTGCAAAGCTTCCGAAACTTTGGGCCGTCGTTAAAATATTTTTAATAAGTTTAACTGAATTATATCGCGTTTTAAACCGTTCGAGGGTTTTATTTAAATATTTTAATAAGGTAAGACTAATTGCGCGAGAGGTGCATATATTGATAGGTTGAAAAAAATCGCCAATGACGTGTAGGACACGGTAGCTCAATTGGTTGAAGCAACAGCACGGAACGCTGTGGATGCTGATTCAAGTCATGCCCATGTCGTAAAATATTTTCATTATAAAATCGATCTAAGTTAACATTTTGAACGGTTTGAAACATTAAAGATAATGTATTTAATATTACATCTAATGGTTTCTAAAACACGTAGTTTTCAGAGTCATTAACTAAGATATTTCACGCGTTATGTGTAAGTGTTTCATTTATATATATGATAATCATTGGCAATATCTTTTCAATCTTTGATAATATTTTTTATTAAAGATCAATATACAAGATATAAGGTAAATATAAATAAAAGAAAGGAATTAAATTCATAAGTAATCATGAGATCATTAGGTACAATTCTGTCTCTGTGTTAGTGATTGAGTTTCGTAACATGCAAATAAGATATGTAATTTTGTGCCCTGCAAAACCGAAATCAATAAAGACCGATTGTAAAACTTACACACGCCTAAATAACAAACCGACGCTGATTTAGAACGCTCCGTTTTTGCGTCAAAATTGATTGTGATCCCTCGCACTAACGCACATTATCAAACCCAAGGGTTTTTCTGTCTACCCACGCAATAATCCCGATTGAATCTCACGTCCAGGGTAAGTTTAAAGCTGATCAATAACTTTATCTATACGTCCAGCCATTTTGGGACCCTGCAAAGTTAATGACGGTAAATTTGTCACTCATGGGACCCAACAGAAGCTTTATTATATAATAACATTTGCGACCCGCCCCGGCTTCGCTCGGATGCAATGCTGATACTCTCTCTCTATTTATCTATTTAAAAAACGCATCGAAATCCGTTGCGTAGTTTTAAAGATTTAAGCGTACATAGGGACAGATACAGCGACTTTGTTTTATACTATGTAATAATTTTCTAATATTATTATTATAACAGTTGGGCAATTTTTCACAATGATAAACTAACTTAGCATTGCCTTATATACGAGAGATCGATTAAAACTATTAGTCTATAATAAAAAGCAATCAGTGTAACGGACACAGAAATGTGTCTGCCTAATGCTTGACACAGGGATAATACAATTTTACTCCTATAGATTAAAATACGATTCGGGCAGGACTTGAACCGGCATTCACAGCGTTCCGTACTGTTGCTTTAACCAATTGAGCTACCGAGTCCTACACGTCATAGTCGAATTTTTCCAACCTGTAATACATGCACCTCTCGCGCAATGTAATTTCAACCCTAACATTTGCAAATTAAGGTTCAATCTCTAATGCTTTACAGCTTAGCATTAATATGTGAAAAATATAAAAGTTTTCAGCCTCTATATAATGTACTGTATTGCAGGAAAAGTTCAAGAAGGAATTCAAACAGCGTTTCACATTTGGCCACAAGAGGAATCGATTGAATAACGACAGCTATGATGTATGTATTTAGAGCCGTATTAGTTTAACTTAATCTTATTTATTTTCTAAGCCGGTAACTAGTATAATGTAAAATATTGTTCATAATATAAAAATAACTACGATAAGGCTAAAAGAGAAAAAAGCACACCGGACATCTTTCATCGAAAAATCTTTTTGATGAAAATTTTGTTAAGTTGAATGTGACCGCGTTAAAAACCTATGAATATTTTGAATAATCGTACTTTACTTGGGTCCGTAATTTACGCAAGTGGTACATTTTGTACAAATTAAGTTGTTAAAAATAAATTTTAGATTGAAAGAAATTTTTACGACTCGGGCAGAACTTAACCGACATGCACAGCGTTGCTGTAACTACTTGAGCTACCATGTCAATATAGACCGCGTGAAACGCTATAAATGACCAGTCCTGGCCGAGTCCTATCTTTTTCAATTTACAATCAATTTTTATCTTATATTATAGTACCATCATAAAAACAACTAACGTGTGTTAAAATATTCAAATTAATTTGTTGTGACCCCACTTTTGCCCATGGCATCTGTAAAATTCGAATCATCAAATATATTCACTTAATGTTCATTGCGTTTCAAACTGTAATAATATTTTTACTATTATTTGTTATAGGACGGCCAGTCGTACAGAACGCGAGTTTTATCAATTCGTTCGACAAACGAGAGAAGCGTTTACTCCACAAGAAAATCACTGAATGCACCGCCGGCTGAATCAATACGGGTGCTACGGAATTCTTGCCACTGCTCGAGGAACGGAAATAAAGACACGAATATCGAAAACCATTATCGTTTGAAGGCAAACAGTGAGTTTGATTCGTACAGAAACGGGAGCAGGTACCTAACTCGCGCACCGAACAAGAGTTCAAGGAGGATTCCCCACGACGAAAGCCCGACAGAAGAAGAGAGAGTCAGCGAATTATACATATTTCCAAATAGCAATATAGTTGAGTTTACGGACATTCTATGTGATAATAAAGTGTAAATAGTCATTCTTTATAGTGATAAATATAGAACACAAATATCTTGTCTCTTTTTTATTAAAGCGATAACTGACCAACATTGAAGTATTTAGCTAAACATATACCTTGGACACTGAAGGACAAATACGCAATAAGGTTTTCACGAATTTTCGGGTAAGTCGTGATGTTGAATTTTAGATGTTTATTTAATTCTTACTGAAAAACACGTATACATACAATTATAAATAGACATTTACCAGATAATAACGTGAATTCTAATTGTACAGAATAAGTTAGGTAACATGATAGTATATTAAATTGCCAGTAACATATCAAGACTGAAAAAAAAGAAATACAATAATTAAGTCACTCAAAAACACTTTTCAGGTAAGTGTCAATCTTTTTTAAAAGTAAGCGCTGTATCAAACATTATGTCACTGTCAATCTTCAATGACAGCTCATTATAGGTTTAACACAGTCTGTTCAATACGGTATTAACTCCAAATTGTGTTCTTCACAAGGGAAGGCGACAAATACCTTGCTGGGGGTCTATGAGGCACGTTAATATTTATCTTAGCCTACTGCGATGCGCAGTCGGATTTTTTTTTTCAGTATATGCAAGACTAGTGATGGGAAGCTAAAATGTTTTATTTTTTTAGTATATCATATATGGGATAAACTTCGGGCAAGGAAAATGTTTTTGGAAGGCTAACGTTCTAAGTTTTTTTGGATATTTACAATTCTATTGTTATGGACTGCGTAGCAAGGTTGACTTAACTACACTATTCTTATTTGGATGTCACTAATGCGCTGTGCAGCAACAACGTCATGGATATTTTTTTAAATATTATTTACTTTAATATTTCGGTTTTTTGTCCGTTGTATTGGTATAAAATATTAAAAAAAAAACTACTACATACCATAGTTAAACTTATGGGACCATTTTCGTTTAAATATTAAAAAAAAAAATTATTAATAATTATGTCGTTTGTGTACCTTTGTCGTTGTTCGCTTGAATTAAATAACAGAAATCAAACATAGATTTTTTTTTTTAATATAACACAGGCAGGACTTGAACCGGCACCCGCAGCGTTCCGTGCAGGTATCAATAAGTTGAAAAAAAGCACGGTCCTGTCGTGTCGAAAAAAAAAATCTATTTATAATCGATGTTTCATTTATAAGGTGCCATCGTGTGCAATAACATGTGAAAAATATTAAAGTTTTCATTTCAAAATAGAGTTTCGTAACACGATTTTATTCAGAATTAGTCAGTGGTATTCAAAACTACTTTGGCTTATAATAACATTAGATTAGTTTCGTGCACAGCTGAGTTCATAATAAGCTTTTAAGTACCTTGAACGTTTGAACTTCTAATTACAACAAGAGTGCTCGTAATCCACTTTAAAAGCTTCTTATTTACCTACAATGTACGTTATACGGTTTAAAATTTATTTGGCTTCCTTCATATTAACGTGTCAAGTGATTATAACTTTAACAACTCCAGTTTTTACTATACTAGTTAATCTATACTAATATTATAAAACTAAAGAGTTTGTTTGTTTGTTTGAAAGCGCTAATCCCTGGAAGCAATAGTTCGAATTCCAAAAAAATGATTTTTGTGTTGGTTGGACCATTAATTAAAGAAGGATTTAGGATTATAGGCTGTAAAACTTCAGACTGTGACTAATAGGAGCGAAATAACAGTGGGAAGTGTGATAAAAGGGAAAAATGATTCATCATTGAGGGTTTGCGTTGCGTGCTGCGAAAACGGTTCAAGATAATCACATAATATGTACAAAAGATTTATTTCGTCTTAAAATAATCAAGAAATATGTCCGCGACAGTAAAAATATTTTAAGGTTAAATAACAACAACAAACCATCTTTATGGTAATACACTTTTGGTCATAAAACTTCATGTGGCAAAATAACGTTTGACAGGTCAGTTGGTTAAACCTGCCTTGGCTCCGTGGCTCTGTGACTAAATACAATATCGTCAATATTACTTTAGTAATCCCTTTTTATTCTTAAGTCTCCTTAACTATCTGTATCTAGAAAAAAGAAAAATAATGAAACAAATAGAAGTATTTCTACTGCGAATTTTGGTATTCACCATATTTTTTCAAATATGTGAAGACAAAAGTATTAAGCGGTTGAAAACGGTTTTGATTTCGCGGCCCCATAAATTCATTGTACAACATCAAAGATTGACCATAATACTCGGGTTGTATCGTAAATTGAAAACAAGGCGTAGAGCACGGCCATGTTGTTCGACTGAATCATAACAAATAAAACCGATCTAATAAAATTAAACTTCTATTTCAATATATGATGATGAAACCGGCCTATAATTAACAAGATTGATTTAATGTGATGTTTAATATGTGCTGTGAACTATTGGCGACCCAATTGTGTTTTAATAATAGTTCTTATCTAAAAATGAATTGTTGTAAAGTACAAATATTAAGCTACTAACTAGCTGTGTGGACTTCGTCCGCGCAGTATAGTTGTTGTGGCCATCAAAATTTGTTTAGCTGTTACTTACAAAGTAGACCGCGTCCCGTCATTCTTGCAAGTTAATCTTATACGATAGGCATATTTTTTAAAATTATTTAAAGAGGAATCATTCATTCAACCTATTTTTTGGGTATCTTGACCCGCTTTCCCATCGTATGCACCGGAAACCCACATGAATGAATAATTTTCTCCGTTTTTTTCACTCCTATTAGTCACAGCGCAATATTTTATAGCCTAAAATAGCCTTCCACGATAAATGCTCTAACACAAAAATATTGTTTCTAATCGAACCAGCAGTTCCTGAGATTAGCGCGTTCAAACATAAAAACAAACAAACTTGTCTTCATAACTTAGCCATTTAATATTGTATATATCAAATTTAACCTTAATTTGACTTCATAACACAATTCAAAAGCTTAGTTAAGTGCAATCCTAGTAGTGCCAGTATTGTGAAATTGTATGTACACTTGCGGATATTATATTATCGTATTTTGAATTGAAACTTAAGTGTGTAGTTAATTTAATTTATCAACTATAATAGTTAATCATTGAATGGCTAAGCGCAAATATGAGGAACAACTGAACCGACTTCCTAAACTTGTTAGCACACTTTTTAAACTCCTACGCAATTTAGTAATATTACTTTAAATCAATTTAAACTTTAAAATACCATGACCTGTTTAGTAGAGGGATGTCGCGAAACAAAGTTACATCATAAGTATTCTACTTATAATTAGTTGGGTTACCTGCAAGAGATCGCTTGTTAGCGATAAGGCCGCCCAATTTTAAGTTATAAAACCTGTTTGTATTTTTGTTCATTTTTCGTGCTATAAAGTGTAAATAAATTAATAAATAAAAATAAAGAATTGGCCATATTATTTTTATATTTTGCATTTAATACCCAATTCAATCTCACTTTACCACCGAGTACTACAAAGAAAAAAACGGAAAAATTCACAAAAAAATATTTTTACAATACACAGGAAAACATGATCCAACTATTCATCAAATATGCATGTCCGGAGCATGATGGATATGATCCTGTATGGGTCCGCATTTGCAGCCGGACGTCTATCTTCTAAATAACCCCTCTTGTCTTCAGAAACTTGCCGCGGGATGCGAACTGAGCAGCTGCGATTGGCGACCCCTGACAAAATGTATCCGTCTTTAAGTACACCCTTTCAGGATTAGATTCGGAAAGGCAACGCTGTTTGACTTTTAGCGCCTTATTATACGTAACGCTGTGTAATCTTTTTCATATATAAATATGGATACATAGACGTTGGGTTCAAATCTCGGCAAAACATAACTTTACAGCAAATAAAACTGATCAATGTAACACAAAAACGTATTTGTTCTATACCTTACAAGTGCCCCATACCCCATAAAGGGTAGAGAAGATTTTGCGTACCGGCAGTAAAGTCTCGTATGTGCGGCATGCCGTTCTTTCCATTCAGTCGCCTTGCATTGTCCGCTCCGTTGTTGGCATCGTATTCGTTGATGTGGGCTCCGTGTCGTCGTGCCAACTTGTCTATCGCCCTCTCGATGACCCTAGGGGGGGAGGGGGGATTTCGGTGCGATTAATTAGTGTATGTTGTTCACAAATCAAAGTTTACGATTAAAAAATAAATAAGACATTGTGCCCTATGGTGAATTTCTTAACAAACGTTCTCGTCAGGGAAACATCGTGTTTATTTGTAGCCACTTCTTTTTACTATTCTTCGTTAAACAACTAAGAAATGTTAGTTTTATATACCAATGTACCAAAGTAGTACTGGCCTAGCTTGTGAAGACATTTTCATAATACTTCTTAATTTATACTTATTGATAAAGCATGTAAATTTTGAAGGTAACTATAGTATATCTGCCTTTTATTATAACAAAGTTAATTTAAGATTCTTTTATGTTTTTAACACGTTTTAAACTATGCATGACTTTTTATACTCTATGTGTTAGCCTTTATTATATCTAAGCCAAGTAAATCTTAAACATAATCTATTTAAAAGATATTATTGTTACACCGTTCATTTCTCGTCAACGTAACGTCGTGTATTTCGTAATTAAAACTCTTGCAACCTACTCTAGCATAATAATTAATTAACGTCGGAGGTCCCTTGGTGACCTCCATAATCCTCTTTTGCACAAAAAATTCCCATCTAACGCAAACCAAAAAAAGAATTTACCGAATTCGTACTACAAATCTCGCAAAAACTGGGAGAAATATACGAATGTTTTTCACAAATACTAGAGATATTATCTTCCTAATACGTGACTTTTCTCGGTGAAATTATTTCTCATTCTGTTTTTCTGCAGCACCAATTTCACAGCTTGGATCTCCACAGAAAAGGTATAATCAAAGTACAATATGAGAAGAGGGAATATGAGGTAAAATACGATAGACATAGGTATGATACCGTTTTTACAAATCGAAAATAAATTGAAAAAAATTTCGACTCGGGCTGGACTTCAACTGTACCGTGCTCTAACCAATAGTGCTACCGACGCCTGACTGAGACGAAATTTTTTTCAATTTTTTAATTATATGGTGCCGTCATGTGAAAAATATTAAAGTTTTCAAGTGATAACGTTTTCCTCATTTCAAGAAACCTTAAAGAATAAGATTATAATGTAGAATAGTAATCACAAAAATCATTTATGTATGGAGAAAATATAATTATAAACTGTCTGTAGTGGCGTAGCTTACGTAGATCTAGCCCTACGACGATCTAACCACATTTTTATAGAGGAATTGGTACAAAGAAATAATATATTTTTTACGTTTTGAAATTACATATCTGTTATTATTCCTGTATAAAATGTTGGAGGCTTATACAAGCTCAAGGTACACTGAAAGACGGGAAGAGGTCCCGATTCTTATGACCTAGCTACGCTACTGAAATTGTCAATTTAATTTTTTAACACCTCTGTGGACACCATCAGAACGAAATTTTTGTCTCTAAGCACAGGGCATATGTGCTTAGAGACAAAAATTTCGTTCTTAATCAGAAAAGAAAAAGCGTAAAACTTTCTCAAGGGAATATATAATATCTTAACTAGATGCGCGCGACCAATTTTGGCTTTGGACATTCGGAAATCCACAGACTAAAACCGAAACGCGATTAAACTTCACGGCTTTTTCATCTGTGGTCTGTGTTTTATCACCCGGACGCAATTTCGATACCACCCACTTAATATCCAAGTGTCAAGTCCAATATGTTTCTGAAAAATTCAATTTGATCCTGGTGGGGATCGCACCCACTACCCGTTGATTATTATCCATACATTGGCTACCATTATACCAACGGGCCACTGTAGTTAACATCCGATTTGATCCGTTAATTAACACTCGAGCTCTAATCAAACTTACAGTATTCCATCCTCTTCTCTCATGTCCTTAGAAGAGAAGTACACGAAGGTACCATTTCCGGGCCAATCCTCAATCGGTTGGGGCTCAAAAGTCGCCACCGTGCCATATTCTTCCGCCAGTCTAGCAAGTATGTACCGGGCTAACCAGAGATCATCTGCAGCCCGTATTCCTGGGCTCGGTCCAACCTTGACAGTAAATATTCATGAAAGTAATAGAGTAAAACTATCAATGCTCGTAGAGACGTCTGATTGAATCTATATCTATACTAATATAAAAGCTGAAGAGTTCGTTTGTTTGAACGCGCTACTCTCAGGAACTACGTATTCTAATTGAAAAGTTGTTTTTTGTGTTGGTTAGAGCAATTTATTGAGCAAGGCTATAAAACTTCGCCCTGTGACTAATACAAGCGAAGATACAACAAGAAATGTGAAAAAAAGTAGGAGAATTATTCATCATTATGGGTGTTCGAGACGTAAGCTGCAGAAACGGTTCAAGATACCCAAAAATATGTATGAAATAATGATTGCCTCTTTAAACCTAAAAAGGTCCGCGACACAAAATGTCTATCTTTTAGGATTAACTTGCAAGAACCACTGGCCGCGTCGTGGGTAATAGCTGAAATTTACAAAGATGAAAAGGAGGTTTGCTCAAACATATTTGGATGCCCAAAATTACAATTCTTTGCGGGCAAATTCGCTTAAATAGCTAGCTATTACACTACCATTTTAGCATTTTTAGACGAATTATAATATCATGTGGCATAATTATTCAAATGAACTCGTGAGAACACTCAATATACTTGTCTATTATGATAAAGGTTTTTTCTGAAATGGAAAGATCAAACATTGACTTAATTTGTTACCTTCGATAACATAAATATGCTTCCAACGATTATAATAACAAATTTTAAACACTAGCTTATGCTGTGACTTTGTACGCGTGTACAAAGCTAGAAATATATTTCTGTCGCGTTAACATATTGTATACACATTGTTTTATACTATTTTTTTATCGTTAACAACTTTTTGGCCGGGCTGAAGTTAGCGCGGCCGCCATCTTGCGCACGGTGCTATAAATTTTAAGTCGAGTCGCACTGCACAGGCGCACCCCTCTTGTCGAAACTGATACCTGCTTTTTGCGGTCTGCGCAACCATCCGCGCTAACTTCAGCCAGGCCAAAAAGTTTGGAGATCACTGTAACTTATTCAATAGAATGGGTAAAGTGCGAGAGGTTCTGGATGGAAACCCGGTAACCCATACCGTGGCGAACACAGAAATTTAATCAACTATATGCTTGTAAGTATAAGTAGTGAAACATACATGGTCCTGCGCACTGCGATTCATGCCTAAGCAGTTTGTGTTCCACCTTGATAGATTAGACAAAAGTTAGACATGTTGGACACAAATGGCAACTTTAATAACACAACGATCAATTTAGTTTAAGCTGAAGGCTATAAAACAATGGATAAACAACTATTGGTACTAAAGACCAATACAGACGGGCGAACAATGTAACGTCTGGTTCTAATCTCTGCCTAACACGTGACGCAGTCATTAGGCCGGAAACTTGTAATAAGGGCGGGAGCACAAGTTTAGTAAATATGCTATGTCATATACATATAATTAAGCTTAAGCTATATAGTATAGAGTATATATTACTTACTCAATACACAAAGCTAAGGAATTTGTTTGTATGAACGCGATTATCTCAGGAACTACTCGTTCGAAAAAATATTTTTGTTACGGTGAGAGGATTCAGCGAGGACGGCTTTAGGCTATAAAACATCACGATGCGACTAATAGGAGCGAAGAACCAGTTCAAGATACCCAAATAATATGTATGAAAGAATGATTCTTGATCTTTAAATCATCTAAAAAAATGTCCGCGGTACTATATGACTATCTTTTAAGGTTAACTTGCAAGAACAACGGGACGCGATCGCCGTCGTGGGTAATATAGCTTAAATTTTTAAAGGTGAAGAGGAGATTTGCATCAATAAATGTTGATGCCCTAACTATACCACGCCGATTAAGACGCTAGCGCAGCTAAGTGCCATAATTTGATATTAAATAAGATAAATAATCTTAGTTTTTTTTAACATTACCGACAGGCAACAGAAACGGACGATATCTTCGATTAACTAATCTAATAACTACATGTTTACGTGTTCTCCGAGAACGTACAGCCTCATACTTTCAACTATAGTGCCCTCAAACGAAGTTACAGATATGGTCTAAAACAATAATAAGCACCTGAAAATTCCACTGCGATGGCGTTGTGCCAGGATTTATACCGTTCAGATGCACTCCAGCGTAGAGACAACATCTGGCGAAATAAAAAGTTTATTACGACTATTTCTACTATATTAACAACAATAATACAGGCAGATAAAAAACGTTCACACCACAATTCGTGCTGAGTCATAAATCGTAAATTTTACTTTCTTATTTCGCGGGATAAAGTGGATTATATTAACAAATGAATTTGCCAAAACGACTGTTTCAAATTGGAAAATTAATAAGAAAGGTTTTATAAAGAAATCCGAGGAATAAACAAAGAAATAAAAGAATGCGCGATTGTTTTAACGATTTAATAGGATAAAAATCCTTGTAATTTTCTACAGACGCGGGGCCGTAGGGTTTAATAAATGGGCAATAAAAAGGAAACCACAATTATTATCTTAAGACGCCATTTTCATGGCCTCGGGTTACCATGGCAAACATGATCCCAAACGTTGTAATAGATATCGAGTAATTATTATACTCTGAATAAATGCGATATATCTACAACCACTAAAATATAAAGGGAAGAAAGCTCGTGTTTCAAATGAGGATAACAGATTGTCTAGACCAGTAATAGCCGAAGATTTGGCAAAGTTGATTTAGTTACTGTCTATAGTTTACGCGAGTAGTACACATTTAAATAAAACACTTTAACGATTTAAAACGCGATATATTAGTTAAACTTATTTGAAAATGATTTTTAACTTCGGCCCGACGTTTCGGATGCTTTGCAGCAACCATGGTCACGGGGAGACTGTCACGACCACGGCTAATTTCGTTAAAAAATTTGAGAACTTTAATATTAAAAATCAGGTTAAAACAATCATGTTACAAAAATCCGACAATGATGTACACGGTAACTAAATTGGTTAGCGAGGCAGAACCACTGAAGCTGTGGATGCCGGTTGAAGTTTCGCCCGTGTCGTGAAATTTTTTCAATCGTCTTAATTTCAAATTTTCATCTATATCTTTATATCTTATTATTTTTGTTGCAATTTTAAGCGTAGGTTTGGAAATCTCTTAAAAACTTCATATGTCAAGTTAATTAATTTTTACAACCTTACAACCTTTTTTAAATCATTAACACACAAATACATCAATTTGCCTTAACAATCAAGCGAGTTCTGAATTCAAATATTAAAGACAATAGAGACAGTCGTTTTATTCGGGCACGATACATGTGTGAAAACTACTCGTCCTCGTAAATAAAAACAATCTGTGAAACGGATACAGATATATGTCTGCTCCATGCAAGAGATAGCGTTACATCTTTAAACATTACGTAAGAGTAAAAATACCTGTAGAATGCTTCCATTAGATCCCTTGCAACGATTTTATTGGCTCCGATCGCACAGTAGTAGGGACCAGGCGGCGCGGGGTAACCACCTGGCGGCCACCCGAGTGGTCTCGAATCGGTGGTGGTGAGGAAGAACTCCTGATTAAAGCCAAACCACGGCTCTTCGACGTCTGCTTTTTCTGTTAGAATTACGCACCCCTTCCTATAGTTCGTAGCTAGAATTACAAACTATTAAGTTTTCTCCCGGTAACCAACTGATCGGTTTTATTTACAGGCAAGTAATTGATGAAATATCTGTGCCCTACCTGACCGAAACATTCTATTGTTTCCTGGGGATTCGAACCTAGGACGTGTTAATGATAGGCGACAACATGTGTAACCATTTAGCTACAGAGGCCGTCGGTAAGTTTAAACAAAACACTGTTATAATTCATTTTCTACATGCAACTCGACGTTTCGTCTCTTGGCTACTATAAAACATTAAAAACGTCGAGATGTCATGAAAAACAATTTACTAATGCAGTTTGCATTTTAAATGAAAAGCGTTTTATTTTGCTGCTGTAAACCAAGTATTGTCTGTAGTTTACGCGAGCAATAAACATATAAATCAAATGTTTTAACGGTTTAAAACGCGTTTATCAGTTATTTTCAATTTCATTTAAACTATGGCCCGAGCAAAGTGTAAATGAGTTAACTAATACATTTCGCGTTCTATACTGTTAACTTATTTCAATGTGTAAAATAAAATTAGTGGTTGGTAGACGTTTAGTGAAAATGAATTTTAGGGAAATCCACTCGAGACTTTTCAACTTTCCCATAAACACGAAAACCCCAAGCGCCGCGGACTATTTTTTTTGATTATTTAAAGAGAAATCATTCTTTCATACATATTTGTTTTGGTATCTTGCACCGTTATTGCAGCGTACGCCTCGGTAACCCATAGCGATGATCAATTTTCCCAATGTTTTTCACATTTCTCGCTGTATCTTCGCTTATATTTCTCACGTGGTAATGATTTATATATATAAATCATATATATATATGATTTATCTTTAGATTTATTCTAGACTTCCTCGATAAATTTTCTAACCGACACAAAAATAAACTTTCAATTCCAATCCGTAGTTTGAGATTAGCGCGTTAAAACAAACGAAATCTTCATCTTTATATATTAATATAGATAGATGTATATGTATGTTTGTGTATAATGAATATAAGTGTATCGGTCATTTTATAGTACCTAATTGACATTAATATTTCGCAATTCATTCCCGAATCTATATGTTTTAAAAATGTTGGGTGGATGGTAGTGCTTAGCCTTTCCATTTTCGGGGAGGTAGGATGCCAAAAATAAGGCAAAATTTATTAGATTGTAAATTTTGTATTTGGGCGACAACCATTAGGTTAAAGCTATAAAAAAGATAAAAAAAAATCATTGCAAAAGTATGCCCCGCCCTGAACCACATTGCAGTATACAAGTAGATATTGCAAATAAAACATGATATTCAAGTCAAATACAAAGAACCACACCGAATGAGGGATTGTATACCGGGATTTTATTGTCTACAGAAATTGTGTTATTTGAACAATATGAATGAGAAATACTTCTAGAATAGATTTATTTGAAAGCACAATATCATTTTAATTTCAAAGCCTGTATTAATATTTACATATCAGTTTCATTAAATAATGCGCTATAAATTTAATTTGAAATTTAAAAATAGTTATATTGCAAGATCTCTATCTAGTATCTATATGTTTATTTTATATTATTGTTGATAACTAATTATTTTTTTAATCTGAAGATTTGATTTTTTTTTTTGCTTAATGTTTTTAAGCAAAAAAAATCATCTGTAAAACTCGATTTTAGAAAAAAAATACGACACAGGCGGAAACTGAACCGGTTTCCACGCCGTACCGTGCAGCTACTCTAACCAAGTCTTGGTAGCTCAATTGTTTAGATCAACAGCACGGCTATTTTTCAATCTGAAATCGATTTTAATTCACCACGACCTTGTCTTACTACTAACCCATCTTTTAAAAAAAATCTCAATTACTTTTTCATTAGATCAAAGAACACAGTGTCACTGCCCATAAGTCCATATTTACATACGCCTTTTTAGTTTACGGGTGAATACCGACATCCGAAACGTCGGACTGTAGTTAAAATAATTTTCAAATAAGTTTAACTTATATATATATATATATATATATATATATATATATATATAAATATATATATTTTAGACTGTTAAAGTTATTTATTGAAATATTATTTACAATATAAAATGAATACCGCGTCTGGGTGATCGTGTGGGTTCAATGACGTGAGGGTAGCTAGTGGTTTCAACTACCGCCATTTATTAAATATTCAGATCGTTACCGTACGTAGTTAATCTCGAACAAAGGCGCCCGTATCGTTAAGCCCGGAAGTGAGATTTAATCAAATCGCTTTTATTTTAACACAACAAGTTACTCGCCATGATTAAGTAGATTTATAAGAGAACGAGGCAATAAATTAAGCTATAAGTATTATGTTAGGAAAAGCAACTCAACATTTATTTTATGTGCATTTTAATCAAAAATCTAAACGACTTCAGAGTAATTTTGATCGAAAAAAACGTTTGCAAAAGTAGTAAGTCTATCAATAATACCTAATGTAAGTTAGTATTCATATATAATAAATTAGATTTTGGTACATATATACAGTAAACACACATACATATTAAAAGTTCGCTAGTTTCCTAATTATAGTATATGTTAATGCTTTAGGAACGCTTATAAGAATTATTTATTTAATTTATATAATCCAAAAATCGTATGACGCTACAAGAAGGCAGATTCAGATAGGTAGAACGTCGACGCTATTTTTTTTCTTACACTAATATAATAAAAAGTAAACCAAAAAAATGCTTTTTAATAAAACACTTTAACGGTTTAAAACGCTATATATTAGTTAAACTTATTTGAACGTGATGTGACGACGGCTGCTGCAAAGCATCCGCAGCGTTGGGCCTCAGTTAGAAATCATTTTCAAATATGTTTTAGTAATATATATCGCATTTTAAACCGTTAAAGTGACTTATTTAAATGTGTACTACTCGCGTAAACTATAGACATAAAAATGCTCTTACATATTTTAGTGCGATAATAAATTTATTATAATTATAACTGAATACCCCGAAACAATATTTCGCACTTACAATACAATTCCAAACTTATACCTAAAGCACTGCTTAGTGTTTGGAACAGCTCCAAGTGTTTATAGAAACTGACAAAGTCACTTCAATCCCCCGGATCGTCCTCGCAATCTCTAGGAAGCGCTTACAATGAAAACTATTCACACCAACCCACTAACCACGAGGCAGGAAGTTGACAAACGGAACCACGTACCAAGGGCAGGTACACCTTCTAATGAGAAATCAATGCATATTATTTCCAACCAACTACTTTGATATTTAGAGCGATAACGATATTTTGATTTGAATATGGAACATCCACACCTCGCAGTCCTACTACTAATGCAAAACATCGGAACTTATTATTTTTTATATAATACCCAAATAAATATGTATACCTCAACAGCATTACGCAATCGCTTCTCTTTAAGGAATAAAAATAAAGATTTTATTTTGCTTATTTGTGTAAGTTTCGTTAAAAAAACAAACATACGATCATTTAAAAATCGAAAATAAATTGAATAATCTTCGACTCGGGCAGGACTTGAACCGGCATCGTCAGCTGTCCCATGACTCGTGCCCTTCAATTATATAGTGCCTTCATGTGCAATAACATGTAAAAAATATTAAAGTTTTCAACATACGATCAGCTAATAATAATTTGTGATGAGACAGATCCCTGTCCCTGTGTCCCTTCACTTATCCATATTACGAGTAGCTAAGGGCAAATAAGTAACTAGCCTTTACCCGACCGATATTTTCGAATTCGAACGTTGAAAGTTGACTTAAGTTTTAACAATTTGAGTAAATATCATAATTAATCAGTTAAGTGAAGCTACACTGAAACTCTATCAAAACTCTTCTTAGACCACTAAACCGGTATTAACTACTGAAATCCACTCTCGAAATAATGATAGTCCGCGGTCCCAACGGCATCGATAAAACCTAATTTGAATCTCATGAATCGAAATTACTCTTAGAAAATTGTCAGAGATTTACGGATAAAATGTATAGTATGTCCTTATTTTAGTAGTCCTTTTCCACATAGTTTTAGAAAAGGCAAACTCAAGCGAGGTGTATTTTCAACTTAGATTTTTTTATGGTTACAATAACGAAAAAATATTAAACAGAATACCCTATTGTGCCAGGGCTGGGACTACAATCCCAATATAAGGTAAGCCATTATGACTCATCGAATTTCATTGATTTTACATAGATTATTTTATTTCCATAAAACCTTACAGCTTAAATAAAAAAGACTAATAGACGGAAAATAACGCCTTTTATAGGCATACATAATTATAAAATGCATTGTTTAAAGTAAATACTGCAAGTCACTAAAAATTAAAAACAAATTTACTTATTATTTATAATAATGTGGTTGTGTACTTATATGTGTGTAATATATAGAAAACACAGATTAATAAATAATGTATATATATACATATTACCAATTCAATATTTTTTCCTATTGTGCTTTCCGTGTTTAGACTTGGGTATTTAAAAAGAAAATATTGCGCACTTAAGATCTACAGATCTTACACAGTCACATTTATCCAGTATAAAATACTTACATGTAGGCTGATAATTATGCTGATAAGTGTCCGCCAAGACCAGGATGTGACTCCCGCGGCGGAAGGGATCGTGATAAATAACTTCGGGGAAGATGAAAGTGTCAGAGTTATCAGAAGTCGCCTGCGCAGTGTTGCTACCATCGAAATACCAAATAGGCAAGTCTGTAACATTATCAGAAAGCTGTACGAAAACGTATTGAAGTTTTGGGTCGACTTATATAAGTATATCTTTATGACAACTTGCTATGCCATTGACAAAAACCACATGTAACTACATTTAAATTACTTATATCGATTCTAAACGCAAAATATATCAGTAGAAAAAAAAACTGATTTCCAAATAATATATTTCGCGTTCTAAACCGTTAAGTGTTTAATTGAAATGTGTAGGTACTACTCGCGTGAAGTCCAGATAGTGTCACAGAAAATTGTGCACAACTACCTACCATTTCTCGATCGTGATAATCAAATTTTCTCCATCAATTAATGGTAATAATTTTAATCAAATTACTTGTGTTTTAGTATTTTGCGGTTTCCCAAGTTACCCTACATATAAGATCTCCTTTATTAATTGAAATATTTCAGCCGACATTGCTCGGCTGTTACAAAGTCTAAACCATTAGTAACATATAACTTACGTTAAAACATCAAGAAATGTAATTAACACGGACAAGAAAATTTACATAATTACTTATAGGGCTTTTCTTACAAGCTTAACGAGAAAATTATTGTATATATTTCTGTGTAAGTGCGACTTGAGTTTTAATGTATTATTAATTAATAAGCTAATAAATATTATAATGACGGTAATACATATGAGGCCACTCATTTTTTGTATTTTGTAAAGCCAAGGCCAAAAAAAAAAAAGGGTTTTCAATAAGGAGAAAAATAAAAATGCGCAATTAACTTAGGCAAAAATAAATTATGTTAAAAATTTTCGGTCATTTTGCTCTGGGAGATTAACATTTTTAGACTATAAAAATATAAATAAGTCCTAAAATTACAGTTAGGCTAGTCTGGCTCTAGCGGCCTCATACTATAATGATCCCCTTCCCTTCTTAAAGCATGGGACATAATATCTCGATGTTTTACATTTTATTTACAAGCAAGTAATTGATTGAATTGTTTCAAGGGGATTCGAACCCAGGAACTCGGACTCATTCAACGTTTTATAACTAGCTATAGTGGCGGTCTAGCGTTCATTGCATTACTGTTTATTAGCTATGCACAATGAGGCATAATTGCTTCATAAAAGCGCGAACAATGGCGCCATTACCTTTATTTGTCTTCGGCACGAAATCAAACGTCCTATCTTTGGATCGGAGGTTAATACCAGTGCCGTCGACCCACAAGTAGGAGGCTAAGATGTCATCACACGGTATTTCTAGGTCTTCATACTTGCGCATAGCGGCTTTGTTTAGCGCAATCGGTACTGAATTCATCTTGAAATTTTGAAAACTGTTAGAACAATTTTAACTCTATCAAATTTCTGACGATACAAAGCCAATAAGGATTTTGTATTTTGTAAAGATTTCAAAATCGAAGACAGTGATGGTATTCAAACACAAAAACAACATCGCACATACACCACGTAGTTGGTTAAGGTATATCGCAGTTGTTTTGTTGTTTAATACTTTTTCAATATTTACAGGGACATATCACTTGAAATTTACCATTAACATATATATACATATAAACCATTTTCAAAAACAATAATACTATAATAAAATAAATAGCGTAAAAGTGCTTGAATGATTAACATGTGATCAATTAAATTTTGAAGAATGTATTCTGTGGATGCTTATTAATGTATTATGATTGATTGGCTAGACTATTTTTGATAAAACTTACTAAAGACAGTGAAAAAGTGATTTTTACTTTGTTTCTTTCACAATTTTATATGCAGATCTTTGTTTAGTCTGCATTTGCTTTACAAGTTCAGACCAAGTTTATATAAGCTTAGAAAAAATACGACTACGACATCGTCATAATAAATATAACTTCTGATGAAAGCTAAGCCCTTTCCGTTCGTAAAAGCTGACCCGACGGCAAGGCCGGTAATACTAGTTTTACGATATCGAAAAGCACTAAACAATATTGGAGTACTTTATGAAGACGTTTCAATTCTGTGATTGGACCGCACCTGAGTACCTCCTAACTAATAACTGATATCTCTTACCTTGACTTATGACTTTGACCATTAACCAATGTTACGTTTGTACTTACCGTAATATACTTACCGTAAATCAGAAATAAAAATTTTAACGATAAACACAAGAATTTATAAAGTGTTATGTTTAACAAAAAATACTAAAACAATTTTGATATTTATAATTTAAAATGACAAATTATTTCACATCAAAAATCCCTTTAGATTTTAAAAAAGATCTTATTGTATCCAACCAGTATCATTCACACGAAGTAAATAAAAACAAATTACATATAATAATAACATACATATACATTACATATATAATTTACTCGCTTTTTATTACACACCGCTAGCATTATGGTGATTGTGCTATGGCAAGGTTTACAGCCAAATCAGGATTACAAATAGTCCGATCATAAGGCTGTAATAAACAGTCGTAAAACCAGTCATAAACGACAGAAGAATACAGTGATTTCTGATAGATTGTCATTCGTATAATGGCGCTGTGTTTAAACAATTTCCGGGCTTTGTTATTGTAAAATTTTGGTTAAATTAAATTCTAAGTCAAATTTAAAATGGTTCATATTTATTTTGTTATTTTTCTATCATCCGTTATAATCAATAGTGAAGCTACAACTCAGTTGAATAGAAGTAAAGATCTCATGAATCAAACATCTCATACCACTCCAAGAACAGCTACAACTAAGAAATGGCAAGTTGGCAGAGTAACTCACAAACGATATGAAATTATCAACGTATTGTGGAGGAAAACGAAAATTTTCGATGATATTGATGTTATAGATACATTTGAAGTTAAAACATCTGATGATAAAGAAAGGTCCCACTCGACAGCCCTACACTATTTTCCTAAAGAAGATAATAAATTGCTTTATTTGAAAACATCCACAACCCCCAGTAACATAGAATTTTACTATTCAGATCTTAATGATGATAGAATTAAAAGGGGGCATTCTTATAAAAAATCTAAGAGCAACGACGCGCGATCTATTTTAAATTCTCCGATGTTCTTTTTCCACGTACAATACGACACTTGTAAATCGACGCCGGCTCCAAGTTTACTCACACAAGCTTTACTAAGCAAAAATTTAATTAAAGAAATATCCGATGTACGCGACAAGTTTATGGATTTCCATAGTGCTTCTTCCACTATACGGAATTACGATGATGAAACCTGCCCAGTAACGACATCCGAAATAGAAAATATTAGTTCTCCTCAACCAATAGGGACTGGATCTATTGTTATCGAAAAGAGGTCACTGCAAAAGTCAAGCGATGATAGGATTAAATTCTTTGAAATGTACGATAGTGATACTCCAACACCGCAAAATAATACGAGATCTCATAATAGTGACTTCACAGATATAGATTATAATGAAAAGCTTTTCATTGAACCGAAGCACGTGAATATAAACTCAACGAGATACGTGAAAAAGCATGTTGATCTACCGACTGAAAGCGATGAACGCGTAAATTATACTGATTATTCTCAAACATTATTCAGATCCACGGCAAATATTCCGACGCAGAGAATTAATTTTTCAAAGCATTCCTATATCAGCCGACCCGCTGCTTGGTCGGAGTTCTCTTTTGTTGCTGTGTATGTTTATGAACCATTTCAGGTAATATTAACAATATACTACCTATACTATACCACTCAGAAATTCAATCATTCATCAGTTATTTTTCTATATAATCCTGGTTTATTTTATATATATATTAGTACTATTAAGTATTTTTTGTTTAATTAATGTTCTTATAACTCTAAATTATTAAATACCAAATTGATAATTAACAATTACTTTTTAATAAATACGTATTGATCTCACTTAAGGGTTTTGTTATTTTGTTTGTATAATCAAACATATAGCAGGAGTCGTTTTAATTCAATAAATGCAGTAGTAGCCACTAGATTTTTTACTTTTATGATAATCACACAATTTTATCAAAATCTAATTTCATCAAGTACCGTTCACATAAAAATATATTTGTTATATTATACAATAACATTTTATTTTAGGTGCGTTGTGATGCAGCTGGGCTAAGCCCCCACTGGCTCTTAGCATCCGGCTCATGTTTATCCCGGAATTACAAGAACGAATATTCCACGAACGGCCAGTCGGCGTTTGTGGCTTATTGCACGGATAACTGGATGTATTACGAACGAATAACTTATGTTAAACACACTTTCATACACCCGCGTTTCGACTTGAAAGACCGCGCGAAGCAGCATTTATACAATATCGGTATGTACATGTTGGATATTGAAAATTCCGATGTAAATATAGGACCTTTTTGATAACAATCTAGTGATTATATAAGCGAGTAAGACAGATTTTCCACCTTTTTTCTTATATGTCTATCCTGTTGGTTAAGTTAAAATATTATCATGATAAATTAGAATGAAGTCGAAAGTTCGGTCTTAGATTGTGTATACTTTTCTTTTAAATTGGGAGAACATCGTGGGCGATCTACTGTCAATTGTAACCGACCGGCACAAATTATTATTTTCTGGCTTTCGAACCCAGGAACGCATTACCAGGCATACGTTTAACCATTTCGCTACCGAGGGTAAAAAGGAATACGCCATTGTATTTGCATTAAAAATACATTTGAACCAAACAGAAAAATGGCGCTCTCTTATCTTGTTACCAATCGCTTACTCTCCTCGGTTTGAAAATAATGTCTTAACAGTAAGCGGGTGATAAATCTTTATGCTTATATCTTTGGTATTTTAAAATACTTTTCTAAAACAGCCACGTACATTCATTTCATAAATGTTAAGAGCGCAAGATTCGTGGCATTGTTTCGGTTGGGCAGGGCCCATAAAGACTCCCTGCCTAAGCGATGCGATGCCCAGCAGAAACAATGCATACTGTCTGTAGTTTACGCGTGTAGTACACATTTAAATTTTTTATTTAGTTGTGTACTACGCGCGTTTAGTTACTTTAACGGGTTAAAACGAGGTTTGTATAAATGAATTTGGATGCCCAAAATAACGAAGTCGCTGACACAGCTAGTCATTAATATTTCCTAGGATAAAAAATTTTTGTATTTGGCCATTGTTCGAAGTAACATTTTCTTTAGGTGTCATCCAAGTAGTGAACTCCATGTCTGAAACTTGTAACGGTTGGAGTCCAGTGTCACTGATGTCTCACGATATGGCTGGAAATCCTGACGATGCAAAAGGTGTAGCAGTTGGCTGGGGATTGGACAGGTATAGATGATAACACCATCTTCATACTTCAAAGCACCTGAAATAAAACTAATACTGATACAAACCGATTAGGTTAAAAGCGTTTATTTATATAAGAAATACACTTCGATATAAATAAGTAATGAATGTTCGAAAACATTAATATTTTTTACATGTTATTTGCACATGAAGGCACTATATAATTTAAAGATCAAAAATAAATTGAAAAAATTTTTTCGACTCGGGCAGGATTTGAACCGGCATCGTCAGCGTTCCGTGCTGTTGCTCTACCAATCGAGCTACCGAGTCCTACACCTCATCGTCGAATTTTTTTTTCAACTTATTGATACATGCACCTCTCGTTTAACTAGTTTAATTGGAAAAAATGTATGACACAGACGAGACTCGAACATATGTTTCGCGCTGTTGCTTTACTTGTTACCGTCTCCGTATACTTAATTATTATCGAATTTCTTTAATATGTCGTTGCATAATCACGTAGTTGTATAAGAGTTACATAATAAATTTGGCTACTTCAAAACATAGTAGCTCAATTGAAAGATCAACAGACCGGAGACGGGTTCGAATACTGGTCGTATCGTAATCGTAATATTTTTCGATAAAATATATTTAAAAAAAAAATAATTCGTTGTTCGTAGTGTATAAAACTAATGAAAAATCTTAATCTGAGATACATTTCTTTTTTCATTTGTAGTGATATATGGCAAATATCCTGTTTATACTGAAAATAATTGAAGTTATCACTCACCGCCCACTGAAATTATAACCCGGCACGTTGACAGAACGTACATCAACGTTTCGCCTCGTTTCGACATTTTCGCAGAGAAATCTATATTCAGGGACGTGAAACTTGTTCTTAATACGTACATTATTTTTTTACGCCTATAGACATATTTTTTGTATAATTAATGTATAAAACCTAAAAAAAAGTGTGAAATTTCAGACTTTTTATGTGTTCGCCCCATGTCCCACACCCTGGGGCATGAGGCGAACACATTTCTGTGCCCTACCCGACTGGAACCACATTTTTTTGTTCCCCTGGGATTCGAACCCAGGATCTCTCGCGCATAACGCAATGCTAGGCAATACGTTTAACCATTTGGCTACAGAGGCGGGCAACAAACACAAACAGACAAGCAGTTTTATAATTTTATTACCTAAGCATTGTATTAGACTTACGCGGCCATTTTGTAAAGTTTGGTGTTCAGTTTTCGCTTAGTCGAGGAACGCACATTTTTTTAAAATTAGGCCAGACATTTCCCCAGCTTTATAACATCTTAATAAGATGAGCTATTGATCTATGTTGGCTTTGGATAAACGCAAATCCACAGATTAAAACCGAAATGCAATTATACTTGACGCCTTCATCATTTGTAGACGATGGATCGAAATTCCGTGCGGGTGAAGGAATTTCGGTATACCTACTTACCACCCATTCAATATTTCCAGACGAAGTCCAACATGTTTTAGAAAAAAAAAAAAAACATATTGGACTCGGTGAGGATCGAACCCACACCAGCAATACATTATTGCTACCATTAGACAAATGAACCCGTGAGATAACTCATGAAGACGGCTAGTGGTGGCGAAAAAAAGATAATTTCTTGATTACGTTAGCAAAACAACTCGAGAACCCAATAGGGTTTTTATATACTAGCTGTGTCAGCGACTTCGTCTGAGTAGAATAGTTATTTTGGACATCAAAATTAGTTTTTGCAAACGTCCTGTTCATCTCTATATATATTCGCTGTGTTACCAACGATGCGCGTCGCGACCCACCCCGTCGTTCTTGCAGGTTAATCTTAAAAGATAGACATATAGCGTCGCGGACTTTTTTTAGATCATTTAAAAAGGAATTATTCTTTCATACATATTTCTTGAGTATCTTGAACAGTTTTCGCAGCATACGCAACAGAAACCCACAAGGATAAATAATTTTTCACATAGTGACCAGAGATTAGCACGTTCAAACAAACAAACAAACTTTTCAGCTTTATATATTAGTATAGATTATTAAATTCGCTAGCTTCATTAGGCCTAGTAATTTGTATCTTATCTGATCAAAGTTAATGCGAGTAATGTGTCTTCAAACATCAAAACTACGAACATTTCTCATTCAGCTATCTAAGTTTGTGTTTAGTATGTTGATATGCTGAAGTTTTGAAGTTCACTGAGACATTCCATACGACTTTAGCCGTCTATATGCTTTATTTGTTATTACGTAAATACGGCTTTACGCAACTTTCATTTCAGCTATTCCGTTTTACGCGTATTTACCGATTAGAAACACATTACGTTTTAAAGCGATAAAACTAATATATATCGCGTTTTAAACCTTTAAAGTATTTTATTCAGATGTGTACTACTCACGTAAAATACAGACAGTATTTATATAATATATTTCGCTTTTTTTACATCGTGTTTTTTTTTTATAAAAAGTTTATAAAGAATTTATAGTTAATGCTATTCTGCATAATAAAGAAGTTAGATTATATTATACTATTTTAATATTTAGTATTATATTAATGTTAACTTTATGTGGCACTCAAAAAATAAGTATACGAAGAAGAAATATTTGACACTCTAAGGGATAGGAAAGTACGGTAAAACATTATTTATTAAAAAAATATATGCATACCGACCTTGTAAACAATATAACATGTATATCTAAGTTCAACAGGAACTAATATAAAATAATAAGTTAAGTTCCGTTTACCCTACCTACACAGGGAGTACATATTTATGTGTACATTGCAAGAATTAATTCTATTTATGTACAAGCAAGTTTATCAGACTTTTGTGTTGTGTCTAAAACACTTTATTAGGTTTTATTATTTTAATACGTTCAATAATTGAATCATGGATGTATACACTAATAATATAATTTATAAACTTACAGGCAAGAAGCCAACAACGTGGAGATACATAACCTGATGATGTACGAAAGTCAAATACGTTCAGATATGTGTTCTGGGGATGTTTCTTACAGGTAAACGACGAAAGAATATGGCTGACTTTATTAATTAAGTAAATACTAGTTTCCTCCGTATTGTTTTATCCCACTTTTTTTAAATAGCCTATTTTTGTAAGCCTTCTGAGGTATCGGACATTTCTATGTCTGTTTTACTGATCAATTTTCTCTTCGATCAGACTTCTGTGCCCCGCCCGACCAAAACTATATAAATAATTTACCCATGATCGGAACCCGAGACCTTAAAGCAATGCGTTTAACCGTTGTGTCACAGAGTCTATATATTCATATACACAATCTATGACCGCTATGTCCACGACTCTGTTAGAGCAGCAGCGGGGAACGCAGTGGTAGCCAGTTCAAATTCCGCCCGTCTCGTAATTTTTTTTGAATCTAAATAGATTTTTAATAACTGAAAATGTTTGACTTAAATAAGCGTATAAGTGTATACAATTAAATAATACACTCTTTAGCTTTTGAGCCAAATACAGAATGGAGACAAACGTTAATGATTCAATCAAATAACCTTATTGACGAAAATGTTGCGATCAAATTAGTAAATAAGAGCTGTAGTTATATTTTACGTGACCCAGAAATATCATATGTTGGTGACACTTTGTTGAATTGAGCAGAATATATTTATGTTTCGAGGAGTTTCAATAATTGTAAAGCAATTTCTATAAGGGAAGACTTTAAACTCTTAACCCAAATTAAACTTTGTTATCTATGGCTTATTACTGATTTAATGATCGGTATCCAAGCAATTTCGGAAGACAAACCCAATTTTACAAGTTACAGTTAATTTAACCGATCGTAAAGGTTCAAAGAGAGTTCATTTGAAATTCAATATTGATCACCGTTAACTTCGATCAAAGATTTTTAACTAAATATTTTAATAATCTCATTTTAACTAAGACGTTACAGCAGCTGTCTTTATTTAACGTGTATCACTGGTGTAGACCGCTTCTATATGTTAATGGTTAAGTATGTTTGTATTGCAAACGCTAGAGATTTTGGGTACGAATCCTATATTGGGGAAAAAATTATCGGTCTGGTAGGGCACACTATTACATACTTTCCTTAAATAATAATATTTTGCCCCATACCACACAGGGTGTATCTCACTCTACTCGTGTAATCATAGGAAGTACTTAATTTGTGCTTACTCGAAAAATTAACTAAAGCGTTAACGCGAACGGATAATTTGAACGACAAAACGCTACGAACATAACGTTGAAAATGGCTGGGATTAAATTTATTCAGTTTTCAGTGCTTTTCGGCATTGCAGATTAAAGGACGATTTATTGAGCACGCGCGTAATGCGAGTAATTGATAAATCGCTGTTATTGTTTCAGAAAAAGGCACAAAAAGCTCAACAACGTTTATTGCCTGTCATTACCGACGGTTTCCGATGAGACTGAGGGTCCTGTGCATGGCGCGCTGCTGTTAATTGGCGGGAAACTCATTGCTTTGTATCTGAAGGTATAACTAACACTTTTTTTACTTCTTGAACCCTACTCGTATTAATGGATCATCTTGTTGAGTGATTACCCTTCCTCTGATACACACGCATGAGTTCGAATCCTTTTGCGATGTTAGATATAAATTGGCGTTCTTTTCCAAGGAAAATCAATTTCAAGAAACGTGTGGAAGAGTTGGGATCACCGTACCTCGGAAAGCACTTCGATCTCGACTATCATACTGTCAAAATTTTAATTTTTATACTTACTTACATACACTATAGCAACAAATGCATTATGGTATTGAAATCTCCCGATATAAAATTGCTTTACAACGACTATCACAGATTGAAATGGCAACAGCGGTTAAACATTGCGGATTTTTCATCTGTGGGAAGAGGTTCGTAGCGCGGGCTAAAATCGATATTACCACCCATTTAATCTCCATACGATATACAAAGTATTCAAAATTTTTTATAATTATTAACATGTTGTTGACCAGATAAGGTATCAAACCCACGACTCGTTAAAGCATTAGCCTATCATTTGAACAACGGGCCCGTCAAAGCTAACCCAGATTAGGACATTACGTTAACGAATTGGAACATGAAAAAAAATCTGGATGCCAAGTAGGAATTTAAAAGTTTTATAAATACACTTTGAAGCCGTAAAGAATGATGTCAAAGATAGATGCATTTTATATAAACTCCTTAAGAGGTTTCTCGGATAGATAAGTAAATTTTCTCCTGAATAATGACCCCCGCGAGAAAGGAGAAGGAAAGTGTAGCTCAACTTCGGTATTAAATAACGATTTTTCCTTTATAAAGGAGGAACGCCGTCCCTCGGGCGAGCAATCAGCGTTGTACACTGGTGTGTGGCGTCACATTCCCTGGTTATTGAAGATAGCCACGGAACCCGAGGAATATTTAACGCTCGCTTGAGACTTTTAACAGCTTGTAATCGCTTGGTTTTGTTATTAAATATTTACTTGTTTGTATTTTGTATTTGAATCAATAATCTTTATTAATTAAATAAAAAAAAACTTGTAATGTGTGAGTCGGACTCGCGTGTAAGGGTTCGTAGCATTGACGTTATCTAAACAAAGTAGAGCAAATGTTACTTGTCCCCCTGCCCCCTCTTAAATGTTGAATTTTTATTACAGAAATATTAAATTTGTCATTACAGCAACATAATTTGTGATATTTTCAACAATATGGAACGGTTTTTACCATTTATGTAAGGAATCTAGGTCCTATGAATATAATTTAAAATTAAGAATGGCTATAAGAGTAATAAAATAAAATACGTGAGATTTTATAAATATATTTAATAATTTCTTAGCATCTATATTTTAGAAAGTTTTCAAAGCGTGAACTTATTTACATTGTTGTTATTATAGTTGGTAATTATGAAAATAATTTTTACCTTTATATTTGTTTTGTTAATAGAGAGACATTATCTTCATTAAGCACTATAAGCGTGTAGAAATTTTATATATTTCAAAAAGTTTGTTAAATTATCGTGGTTTGCACCGCAATGTTTTGTAGACCCTTCGCTTACGAAAGGTCTACAAAACATTTTCTACATTTATAACAATATTGATCGCTGACTTAACTAACTTACGCATTACAATAACTTACTTAAATACTTTTAAACTTACACATTTGAGTTATATATATAATATCATCTTGACAGCAATACTCATATATAACTGTTAAGACAGATTTTAAAACACTTTGAATAGTCTGTGTCGAAATTCTAACATTTAGTCATCTTAGAGTTGACCGAACCGATACTCGTTGATTCGAATCCTGTATAAAATGTTATCCAATATAATAAATTTAAAATTACTTGTTTATTCTTCAATTTGTTCTGTAATTAACTATTGAAGAAGAATACAAACGAACTAGTGAAGGTTTTAAAAATTACAAATTTATTTAGATTCGAAAAATGTACACCACGTCTACACGGTATGCTAAGAATGCCGCTACAAGTCCTACTCGTGTTATAAAAAAACATTGAACAATGAAAAAAATGCTACAAGTATAAACCTCAACTGGACATGCTTTTCAAGTGTGCTGTCGACCTATATAAAAGGAATAATAAATAAGCGACATTTTTTTATAGAATCAAAGATAAGCTTAAATCTATCGACTGTGAAAGTGACGAGTGAAGAATGTCTTCAATCGTCGAAGTATGTGTTGCTCATGACAGCTCGCATCCACGGCACGTAGTTCGCTGTTCTGGTGTAGATTCCATATTTCCCGCGCTTTCCGCAGCCGTCCCCGAAACTCGTTATACCCTGTAATCAACGAATCAACATGGAAACATCTCTTATTCGAACCTGTGTTATTTTACCCGACATTTCTCGTTAAGCTAGTAGTTAGCAAATACAGTACTACAACACACGTGTGTTACTGAAAAAAATGTTGCAGGCGAAAAATGTATTACTCGTAATGTTAAGGATCGTTTCAAAGTTCAATGCGTTGCCTAATATCGTGTTAAGCGCATGAGCCACAACGATGGGCCACTGAAGTCTTAAATATTGTCTGTAGTTTACGCGAGTAGTACACATAAAGACACTCACTGTGACCACGGCCCACCCGTGACCACGGCTGCTGCAAAGTATCCGAAACGTCACTTCGGGCCGTAGTTAAAATAATTTTCAAATAAGTTCAACTAATATATGTCGCGTTTTAAACAGTTAGAATGTTTTATTTAAGCACACTGAAGTTTGGCTCATTAACTGTACTTTTGTAACTTGCCGATAGATGAAATCAATCAGTGAAAGGGACACAAAAATGTCTTCGCCGAATGTCTAAACAAAACGTAATTTCACCTCAGAGAACATACTACGTGTACAGAATACATCTAATTTAGTGTATCTATGTGATCAAGCCCTCCCTCCTACGAGAGAGGCATCCCATACCCAGGAGTAGAACAAAATATTGGTAAAATGGGGAAAACAACGAAATAGTTTAAATTTTATTGTTAAATTATATAATGTGTTCGCTTATAAACAGCGAAAGTAGAGTTTCATAGGCAGTATACGATTCTAAATTTAAATTATTTCTCGTAACTTGCGAAACAACATCGAAATCCGCTTAATCTGTTAAGCGTAGCTTATAATAAGATAACATCTCGTTTCAGCTTAGCATCTTACAATGTTGTTTATTTGATCTAGAATAATAAATTTGAAGAGCTATTCTTAATTAAGTTATTATAAAGAGAAAATTTAATAAAGCCTGTAGGTTTATCGATATTAAGCATAAACTTTTATCCCTTATCCCCTATTTATTTAAGTAAAAAAATACTATTATGTGCCTAGCAAAAGCAACTGTTGTGTGTCGTGGCTATTTATAATCTTTCTCTATCAGCTGTAATTGATAAAACCCTCTAATCTCATCTGTGGCAGATCGTGGCTACTGAACGTTGTATCTGGTTCGAGTCCCGTGTATGTATTGGAAAACTATTTAATTACATTTAAGACATACCTGTAAATAATAACGCATAGATCTATCTCTGCAAAGTAGCGGACCGCCCGAGTCACCTGCGCAAGAGTCGCGTCGCCCTCTACCCGCGCAGACCATGTTGTCTGTAATTGCATATTGCCAGTACGACCGTCGACATACACCTTGCTGGATTGTGGATACCTTAAAAAGAGCGAAAAATAAAATATTGAAAAGCTTTTTCGAAATGCGCCAAGATGGAAAACTGATATATTCTTCTACAACGGGTATAAGAAATGTTTAGAGAATAAGAAATAATTAATAATAAAATAGAAATTCAGTCAACTGTAATGTAAATGTCAAATAAATAATTTGTGTTTTTTTTACGACACGGCCGGGACTTGAACCGTCCTCCACAGTGCTGCTGCTCTAACCACTTGAGCTACAGTGTCCTACACGTAATAATAAATTTGTAAACATATATATTGCTTCCAAGCTTAGTTTTGCTTTCGCGCTACCGTTTTTTTACCGTCTTACGAATATGACTCTCAAAAGTATCATACGAAGTCTTTCCTTAAGTACTTTTGTTATATATATTTTTTGCCAATATATCCTTCACAATCTTGACAACCTAAATCGACTTCGTTTATCTCTCCATATTGTGGCGTTACGCATCATTACCATACGACAATCGAAGAAAACTCAAACTTTTCCCCGTTACGAAAGAACATTAGGAAGGAGTGCTTTAAAATGTTATGACAACCAGACAGATTCATATCATCTTTTTTATAAATAAAAATAAATACTTATAATTTTATGAAGTGCTAAACATGTTACTTTTGTTACATTTTGCGTGGGTTGATTATAAGAAAACCCTTTTTTTTAATCCAAGCTTACTCTTATTTGGTTAACTTTCAACTTAAAAACATTTCTTAAATATATTACGAAAAATACCTGAGCTTCATGAAGGATCCTGGTTCCATGTACGTCAGATGACCGCTTCTTCCCCCATCCAAGAATGACGCACGTCGTATGGGGGGCTAAAATCTGATGTGGATTTGGGAGACAGGCTATACCATGACCAAGGTCTGGCCGTGCGGGAGCAGGTAACCTAAAAGAAGACATACCAAAATACTACTAATACTACTGTCATTATTCCACTTGCGATAATGCCAAAAATCATAGGCACAAAAATCAATGAATTACGTAAGGCAGGATATTCAGTTTTCCTAAGTTTTTTTCAAAAGCCAAGTACCCCCCCCCCCTTCTTTAGACGAGCCCGGCCCCGTCCATTTGTGACGTAACTCGGACGGAATATTAAAAATTTTGCCCAATACATGTTTTAGAAAAAATATAAATTACATTTGGTAACAAAAGGATTCCATTGCGGTGCTGGACGGAAATGTACCCACGATCAGTTATTAGTTATATATGGTACCAATAAAAGAACCCGTCGTTATTTAAGCTACAGCTTCACACTTTAATGTTGCATTTGTCATCCGCAAATTACAGTAGTTATAACAAAATACTAACATTGAGGAATACGTCATACAAATTTAATCGTTATGATATAATTAACTAGGTTAAGAATTAAGAACAAAATGCTTGCCATAAAGAGAAACAAACCGCTATTTATGTTAAAAGCCCTTCGCTACCCACATTCGGCGCATTACATTTTTATTATGTCGTTAACCCTAATCTGCCTTAATATGGTACCAGAACACACTATTGTAATAAAATCACACGGTGATATCACTTGAATTTGCTGTAACTAATGACGTAATAAAAAGCGTTAAGGCAGGTAATAAATTGCGCGAGAGGTGCATGTATTTATATTGGGTAAAAGAATTTCAATGACGAGCGAGACACGGTAGCTCAATTGGTTACAGATTCTAATTCCGCTCGTGTCATTTTTCCAGTATAAAAATTAATAATCTGTGTACAATCACTGCCCAGTGAAACGTTATAACTTGATTTTATTCGGCAAAGTGTACAAAAATAAGCTTAAATATAAATTGTGTAAGGCTTTTACATAGTTCAGCATATCATTGTTTACGGGCTGTTCGGCTGACGTAAGCAAATCATAATTCTTCGAGCAATCGAGAAGTTAACATCTCCTGATGATGTCGTTCGCTCGTGACGGCTCATCGTCGAGAACCTCTTCTCGCTCACGTCGGCCGTACAGCCCGATAAACAATATTTTCAAATTAGCAAACGGCATTTTCACTTATGGACATCATGTAAAATGCATTTTAAAAAATGATGTTAAGTCAATAATCATACACCTTTTGCCCCAGGATTTAAACCAAACACCTACTATTAAAAGACTAATAATTTTGTTTGTATCTCCTCTAGATAATTTTATCAATTTTTTTTTAACTATAAAGCGAAAACTAAAAGTATATAATATACCAGGAAGTGGCAATAAATATGTGAGCTTATAGGTAAGGGAATCATTACAATATGCTACAGTATATATTCCACGTCTTTGCCAAATCTAGCGTACGGTACCAAGCGCACTCGTGAAGAAAGCTCGATAATCCGTAATCTAGTTCTTGGTGAGACGAGGTTCTGTTACATCGCAGAATTTATAAAAATGAATCAATGAAAACTAAATTGAAGGAAATTTTAGTAGCATCGTTTATCGAAAAAAAATTGAGCTACCGTGTTCCACGGCGTCAGCAAATATTTGTTCAATCAACGACAGCTATTATTCAAAGCAATGTGGATTAATAAAATAAATATTAATGTATACTTTGTATTCATAAAAAACAATATAGCAAACGAAAAGGATAATCTTGTTTCAAACATGTACTTTTCCTGTTCACATTTAAAGCTTACTATTTATTTCGAATCGCCTAACGAAGTTGTTCAAACTTATATAACTGTAATAAAAATCTGTTTCTTTAATCTTTTAACTAAAAATAAATAGCCAATCTAGAAAGCACGTCCAAGAGTCACTACGTTATTAAAAATGTTTAAGCATTCCAGTAAAGGCTTACAATCACATTAACTTAGGTATCCCTTCCAAAATTAGACTACAAGTTAAATTTATCTCCAGTAATCCTTAACAATAAAAGCCGTTATTATTTAAAAGGGAAGTCGTAACGTTAATTAAATAGAGTAGATACAATTCTAAAATAAGTACTTCGTCGTCACTCAGGAAGAGTGACAGGTCTCTGGAGCACAGAAATCTGTTCAACGTGGCGTCGCGGTTGTACATATCAATTATGTTAGGTTTATATAAGAATTGTTTTATTTCATATAAATTTTGAACGAAATAAATAAGCAGTTCAAACCTTTGAAAATTCAAATATTTTTTACATTGCTTGTGTTCCCATTATATAAATTAAAAATCTATTAAAATTATATATTACGACGAAGGCGGAAGTTGAACCGGCATCCGCAGCGTTTTGAGGTGCTGCTTTAACCATATGAGCTACCGTGTCCATGTACACGTAGGACAATCGTCATAAAATTTACTAAATCTAAATATATTCTTAATTTGAATTATCTACAGGTTAATAATACACAAAGCCTCTTGTATCGTAATAAAAAATAATTATTATTTTACAAAATTAATCTCCCCGCTATCACGGCTTCTGCAAAGCAAGCCAAAGTCGGGTTGTAGTTACCGGTAATAAGTTACCCAATATATTTCGCGTTTTAAATAGTTACTGGAAGGATGTTAGCGAAGGAAGTACGTACTCTTACCGCAACATGGCAACATCATTAACGACAGTATCGGGATCGTACTGCGGGTGTATGACGGCTTCGGTGACCCTCATCTCCACTTCTCCATAATTTCGAACTAAAAGATCGTGTTCGCCCAAGCGGACGTAAAGGCGCCTTCTGACGCAGTGCGCGGCTGTTACCACCCAACGGAGAGATATTAGTGTACCGCCGCAAAATGCTTCCTGTAATTAGGTTTATAGTATTTCACAAGAACGTGGTAGCTTATATACTTATACTAGCTGACCTGGCAAACGATATTTTGCCATATGAAGCTGTGCCAGCGACTCCGCCCGCATACAATAGTTACTTAGGGCGTAAAATATTTGTTTTTGCAAACCTCCTTCTCATCTTTATCAATAACGGCTGTTACCTTTGACGTCGTATGCATCCGATCGTTATTGCAAGTTATTGAAGAGATTTAGATTATTTAAACAGGAATAGTTCTTTCGTACACATATTTTTGGGTACCTTGAATAACCACACATATTCGCAGAGCACAAAACGGAAACCCTCAAACATGAATAATTTCCCCGTTTCTTCACATTTCCCACTGATTCTTCGCTATTTTATAGTCTTCCCCGATCAATGCTCCAACCAACAATTCAAATCGAACCAGTAGTTCTTGAGGTAGTCGCGTTCAAACAGACAAACGAAGTCTTCAGCTTTATAATATTAGTATTGATTTAAGATTGTATAATTTTTATAAAACGCAAAAATTACGGATTTGTTGTTATAAATGCAACGTTTAGGTCTCGAATTTGAATCTATCCTTTGGCATCAATTTTGTTTCATGTCACGTTTCATAGACTCATGTATAGATTTGCATCAAAATTCGAATATGTATTATTTTCATGAATGGAATGAGATATTAAGATATATAACGAACCCGAACCATAGACAAGTAGAAAAATAAAATAGAATTAACACCGTCGCTAAATCATATATATATATATATCTGATAAATTTTATTAGTTCACGTAACAGTTGTTTCCTCTATATTTACGACCATAACATGTGTTTTAATAGCTTAAAACTTTACCTTATATCTGTTAAGTACAGCAACTTGCCAAATCCACTTCCCAGGTAGAGCTGGTCTTCCTCCGATAATTCGGATCATGTCTTGCATGTGGGCTCTTAATCTATTTATTGAACCTTTATAGTTCCCCAGTCTACCACAAGGCAAATTTGCTGATGATACAGACCTAGAATCTTCTGCGTGGATAGCTGGTATAGGTGATGGTAGAGATTCTACCTCCTTATTGAAACCTGTCAAAGAAATATTTTTTATTGTAATAGGTAGAACAATTGTTTGATTTACCCAAGTTATGGAACTTACAAAAGCTTTTGCAGCTTAATCAGAAAAGTTAGCGAAACTTTTAATCCAATTATACCTTCAAAAATTCTTCGAAGTTCATCAAAAACTTTCGGGGTTTTATTATTGTACAGCGCTTAATAACTTTAATTCTATTTTTTGTAGTGACGTAAGAAGTCAAATGGTAAATAGATTACCAGGTAAGTACTCGTCAATCAGATGGCGTTAGTATATAGTTCATACTGGTACTTATATTTATATATTATAGGTTTTGATAGTGTCATTAGTATATAATAAGTATTGAAAGTATCTTTAGATGTAAATTAAGCATAATAAGATATACTTAATTTACATCTTAACCATATAAGGTCAAAAACCATTTTTGTCTCCGCTTAGTAGACACTAAACGGTGAGTCTATTTTTAAATCACAATATATATATATATATATTATATATAGTTAATGTATGTAATGTATCACGGCTCGTTTAATATATAAAAACTCTTCTATAACATGAAAACTTTTAAAATTTAATTTTGCATTGACTTTCAACGTTTGTAAAACGACTAGATAACGTCTTGGTTCAAAGCCATTTAATGTTCAGTTTTGTTCTTTTTAGTAGTTGCCAGTATCATTATTTTAAATTAGCTTCAGTCAACATTCAGGTTATTATTTAATGCTCACTGTCTTACAAGTTTTCAACGAACACCCAGATTTTATTAACTTTACAACTCCTACATTGTTAGTCCTCAGTAACTGAATTAATTGCTAACTCAGAAACAATTGTAGAGTTGTCTTAGCTGCTCGTGTTTATTTAATTTATAAATATAATAATAAATGTTTAAAGCCGTCAAATGTCCAGTTTTTATTGAAGATGAAATTTCAGAATTGCTAAGGCCCGCTCTTTAGGAATAACTGAGTAAAACGATTTGCCCCTTAGGGCATACCAACTACCATAGTAGTGTCGCCAGAATTTAAAACTTATGAATTTTCGTGACTTTTTGACGCGAGTTTAATTTGCATTTTGTTCCATAAAAAAAACAACAAAACTTAGAGCCAATTAATTCCACAAGAGAAGTTTTCACTTCGAAGTATCACATTTTTCATAAATACGGTACGTTCTATTTAATTATTCGATTTTAAAAATCTGCATTTGACTCTACAATGGAGCTTTTTAAATCGTAGATCTCTTCATGAAGTCTCAAAATTCTGACAACGTAACGCTCAACCTAGCGTTACGTAATGCATATCTTAGATTTCATCACAGGTCATGGTCATATCTTGATTAGAACATTGTTATACATTTGTTTCAGTCGCCAGACGTGTCGCTGTTCACATCGCGCGAATTTTGAACGTATGGTGCGGCAGACGGTGCACTCCACCTTAGATGAAATAGACAACAATCTCTACCTTTTAGATACATAATTAACACGACAAAAAGAAAGTCACCTTGATCTCTCCGTCGATGCATTTTCCCTCGAATCCACAGATGGCAGTAGCTGCCTTCCAAATAACAATACGCGGACTGTTTGATCACTTTTCGGCCACATATTGTCCATTTTTGGCAGTGCCTATAAAGTTGATTTAAATAATGACATAATTTTAATGAATTTGTAATTTGTCCTTTATTTTAAGTAGAATGAAATGCGTGAATAGTTCACCTCCAGATCTTGCAAAAATACTGTCATCTTATAATTATACTGATCATTAAATTAATCATATTACACTTTAAATCATTACTCAACTCGTCACTGGGTCATTATGATAAAAAAATTGTTTAACATCATTGCATAACATATTTATTATTAGAAGCTTCTTTTTTATTTTATAAACGACTGAATACAATATTAATACAAGCCATCGAAATATTTTGAACACAATCAGATTTCCACACGTTATCGCACATAATTACACTTTTATTAAAAATCTTTTTAGTTAAAAATTTTAAATTTACAATAATTTTTCGTAGAGAAGCTCTTTAAAATAAATTCTATCGACTTGCTTGAACTTACCTCTTTCTCACTGTCGTACATTTTTTGGAACACTTGCTCCAACTACTCCATGGAGAAAAACCCATAAATCTCTTTTGTACGTCTCCACTGTCTAACTGCTTTAGTCCTACCTGTAAAAACATTTGATCTTGAATCGAGTGAAAATAATGAAACATAATTCCACTAACTAATGTGATATATTTCAGCTTTCTCGAGTGTTTAACGAGGGATTGTCTTCCTGAAGTTTTCAGTAGTTTTCAGCGGTGAATACAAACTTTGCTAGTTGATTACCAGAGCTCAAATTTGTGTAACAAATGTTAGTGTTAGAAGTACTAAATCCACTTTTGAGAAGGTAGAACTTTCAAATAATAAATAATCATACTTAATGAATTAATTGTTGAAACACAAGCTTGCTTTTATTTATTTTTTATTGTTTGCGATAACCTACGTTACTCATGCGTTACTATTGGATGCAAAACTTTTGAAAAATATTATTGTATTGACTATTTATTGACATTTAAATGTTTTAAGGGTCTAAAATGCTAAATAACTAGTTAACTTAATTAATTTTTTAAGTACTCCTCAAGGGGAAAAAGAAGTAACTTATGAAGTTAAAGTTAAAAGTTTTTTATTTGCTTGCATGTAAGGTAAAAAATTATATTACTTATATTGATAAAAGTGATCACTTTTGAGTACTTTAATATTTTTCACATGATGCCATTATGTAAATTAAAAATTGATTTGAAATTGAACAAAAAAATTGTTAGAGCAACAGCACGTTGTGGATGCCGGTTCAAGTCCTGCCCGTGTCGTATGTTTTTTTTACAATTTAAAATCATTTTTAATAAATGTTTTATAATTATTTTAATCAATTTTTCAGTAAATTTAAAATCGAACTAACCACTTCAACGTGAGCTCGCTTAATTTGATGTCCTCTCTCGCTATCATATTGTCCTCGGATCTCGCTCGCGCCGCAACTGTAAACAAAACTCACTAAATGATGTTTCCGCATACGAGTTTATCAACAAACCCAAGATTCTAAACAGATGACTTAATTACTCGTGACTAATATTAGTGTGTTCCCGTTTCCTTTACATGGGGCATGGGGAACACATTTTTTGTTTTATTGATCGATGGTTTTAACAAGTAAGTTGACTTTCGTGCTGTCCCCGACCGAAACTGATAAGTTTCCCCGGAATTGAAAAACAGTATACTACGGCAAATTTTATTCACAAGTTTAACCACTGAGCCACGACGGCTGTTTCAAATCATTAACCAGAAAAGTGCGGGATCTTAAACAGCGTCACCAAAAATATTTTATACTAGCTGTCTCAGCGAGGTATAAAATATTTCGTCCTTCGTCCGTTTTAATCACTATTTTAGGCATCCAAATTCGTTGTTGGAAACCCCTTCAACTTTATAAACTTAAGCCGTTACCCACGAAGTCGGTCGCGTCCCTTCCCGTCCTTCTTGACAGTTAATCTTAAAATGTAGACATATAGTGTCGCGGACATTTTATTAGATTATTAAAAGAGTTTCTTAAACAGTTTATGCACCTCGGAAGCCCATAATGATAAATCATTTTCCCAATTTTTTTCAAATTTCTCGCAGTATTTTCGCTTGTATTAGTCACAGGGCGTTATTTTATAGTCACAAGCCTTCCCCAATAAATGCTCTAACACAAAGAATTTTAAATTCCAACCTCCTACGGGTTCGATTTTAAAATCGACAAAGTTCCTGAGATTAGCGCGTTCTAACAAACAAACTCTTCAGCATTATATATTTGTAAAGATATCTGTAAACTTTCAAATTAAAAAGAGACATTTGATTTTGATAATATCTGTAAAGCTGATATTAGTATAAACATAAATATAATTAAAAAAGTGACATTAAATTAAACCAAAATAGAATTTCCTATTAAATACATTTTCATTAGTTATTAAAATTTGATCAATTTATTTGCCGTCTCTAAGCTCAAAAATTTTTATTCTTCTAAATTTAGCATTATAAAATAGTATTTTATCTTAAGCATTGGTTTTCTATTCGTTACGGTGACAAAATACGATATTCGAGATAGCAGTTTTCAATGAAGAATCAAAATGGAATGGGAATAGAAAACAATTATGCCACTCGAGATCTGGGGAAAATGGCTCGTACCGAGAAACTTCAATTCGCAAGGAATCTCCACAAACTTGCCGACGTAAGCAGTGTCGCCGCCTAGTTTTATGGCCGACTTGGCATGCACTCCACCTTCCCCATTCTGAGAAGATGAGTGTCTTTTTATCACCTGAAAACAAATTAAGTTGGAATTGTAAAGCTGTTACTTTGGTACCTGAAAGTAAATCATTTAATTCATTAATTATTATATATCGTAATATTTTATAGTGTATTAGTAATTATTTCTTTTATTTTTATATTATTTATAGCAAGTAGTTAATATGGTGATATTTTCTAGTTTATTAGTTTAGTCTAGGCTAACTAAGATTACATATCTTGTGTAAATGTTATATAAAATAAAACATGGAAAATGTTTTTTTTTATGATAAAAGAGGAGGACAGACATGCATTGATGGAAGGTGATTTCAGCTGTATAACATTTAAACACGATGTGTTGTCGACTATTTTGGCTTTGGATATTCGAAAATCCGCAGATTGAAAACTTCGTCCATCGACGGTGGTTCGTGACCCGGACGGAATTTCCTTATTCCTGCCACACACTCAATAATCAGATTTCCAGAAGAAGCCAAAAATGTTTCAGGAAACAAATTTGATCACAATTGACATTGGTATACAATATTACGTATTCTTATATACCTACTGTGAGTATATAGTAGATTTAGTCTCGTTTAATAGCACATTAGACTTACTATTGTTATCACTAAATCGATCTCTCTCGTACTCTTCAATAGTAGACAGATCGCTATCAGTCTGAAAGCAAATATATTAAATAACATACAATAGTTCAATGAAAAATCTAGGTCAATGGTCACACAATATGTGCAATTCGGTAATTGAAAAAGCCATTCGGGATTTTATAAAATGCATTTTATATGCGCACGACCAGTGATGTCAACTCACCGTTTGCGATCGTAACATTTCCAGATCGATGACGAACAACATCAGTGAGATATGGCAGAGTCGCTTCATTTTTTCCACCTACGCGATTTTAATTTTCCGGTAATCCATAATCGGTATCTGGCGGGCGAAATAAAAAGAATTATACCAGTGACATCAAATAGTCTGTAGTTTACGCGAGTGGTAAACATGCATTAAACACTTCGACGGATTAAAACCCGTTATAGAGTTTTATTTAAATGTGTACTAAAAACATAAATGTGTACCAGTTGCGTAAACTACAGACACAATGTAATTGACGAGTACAGGCTGGAAAATGCAAATAAAGTTCGAAAACTAGAGTGTCTCGTGACGAAACGCGCCTGCAACCAAATATCTTTGAATTTCCCCAAGATATGTCGGGACCACGATATCATCCCAGTTTTTGTCCGGGTGAGCAAAATGGACATAGCAGGAAGCGCCAAGTTTTTTCTAAACTGCAAGCCTTTGGCTGTGACTTTGTTTAAAAAGCATTAAACAAAGTCGCTTTTTTAAATTTAAATCCAGGACCTCGATACAAGTATACAATAAAATAAATTATTATGTATCCACATAAAATATATAAAACAGTGTTTCAAAAAATCTCTAGAAAACCGCTCTTAACTTTCTCCTAAACAAATATAGACGCTGATATTTGTTCGTGAAATAAACACCTACAAAAGTGTGTTAAATAACTCAAGAACAATGCAATTAGTGCAGACTAGATGAGCCGTTTGACACCTCGAAGAGACGCCATTTTAGCATTCGTCATACTAAACAATTACGCCGGTTTTGTCGAAACAGGTCAAGACTATAATCTCCAAAATTGTACACGCCGTAGGATAAATAAGTCCACATCCCAGTTAACAATACTGTATTTAAATTCTCAATTTGAGAGCTGTAAATAAAACAATATGCTTAGAAGGCTGTGCCGCATACTTTTTCATCCAACTCGGCTTAGATTTCGCGATAAAACTATTTCAAAGTTGGGAAAGTTAGCTACTTAACGTACTTAAGAAAATAAAAAGATGTCTGTTGTATTTGAACGCTTGATGTACAAAGACAAAACATAACGGTTTGAATCGCGAATTAAATTATTTAATTCGTACATTCCAGCAACCGTTCGCAAACTTTGGAACGTATTCTTAAATAATTAAGTTATATATTTCACGTTTTAAACCGTTAAGCGTTTTTTTTAATAAGAGGTTAGTAGACATACATAAATTTGCAATTTACTAACAAATTTGACAATGAGGCCGGGAGTTTGATATACAGCTGTGCATCTTTCCGTAAAATTATTAAATTCTAGGAGCACGATATTGTTTTTACTTAAATTAATGAATGAGATGTGGCATATTCGCTACTTTGGACGTACAAATTCGTTCCCAGGGCTTCCTAAAAAGCAAGATAGCGGGCTGGTGGTGTGCCATTAAGGTTTTGGTCGATCTAATACCACCCTCCCCACGTCACTATTGCACTATTGTCGATGGATTATATTATGCTTTCAAACCATCAGTAAAAAAGGTATCAATTACGCTGTAACGATCTCTCTTGACCCTTATTTTATTCGAAAATGTATAACTATATAAATTAAAAGTATAGGTATATATAGTTAAATATAATTATATAGTGGCATCATGTGAAAATTATTAAAGTTTCCGACTTATAACTAAAGTTAGGCAGGTGTACAAAATATGGCGGACCCACGTCATTTAATAAAGTCTAGAAGTTTCTGGTGACTGAAGAAAAATTTCCGCACAAAAAACTCGTTTCAAATATAACTTGGTAGTTTAAGACTTACAATAAACAATAAGTTCCTTTCTACCTTGTTGAATTCGTAGCCAAGTAGAGTCTGTAAGTTTTTAATAACCAGTTCTGTTTAGACAACGTTTTTACTTAACTATTTTAAAAATTATTATATTGCATACATTCTTCCACTACAATGGGGGACACGCAAGCTCAATTGATCAATATGTGAAATAGATTCTTTATTTATATAAAGATACATCACTGCTGTTTAGATGGTAAGAGAAACAATACGTGACATTTTTTCACTTCAAAAGGATTTCTAATAAAAAAATGCATTTAATTGAATATTGACTATTTTGACGCTTGTTAGTCATTGTCTAATTACAGCAATATAAGGATAATTATGAATGGGTCGTGTATTCGATCTCCAGGCCTAATATGCTTCAATCATATCTATTAAAATGGATGGTAGAAATAAACCATCGTTCACAGTAAAGAAGACGTGAAATATAATGACATGTTTCAGTGGTTTCGAATATCCAAAACCAAAATAGGTCGACCGTGCATCTTCTATAGATGTTATATAGCTAGGGTATTTCACCTCCCATCAAGTAAATCTCATGCTTCTCTATCATAAAAAAAACGATATACATAAACGATTTGCTCTCCGTAATTACGGCGGCAACCTCAAAGCGTTTAGATAAATTACCTGTTTCATCTAAACTTAGGTACAGCCAGTTGCTACGGAGTTTATTATTAAACAACTGTCTATCGAGCCGTCTCGAGCAGATTACTCATGACTCAC